TTGTTTATTATCATTTTTTCTGTACATGTCTATCTATATCTGTTGTTGTTTATGTGCTGTAAGTAATGCAAATAAATTATCTATTTATCTATCTTATTCTCTATATTGTATAAGGCAAATACAGTATACTAATTCATTAATTCATTCAAAGTATGTATTACACTAAAACACGATAGTACCTATTTATTGCAAGGAGAGTAATCGTTATCATTTAATGTGTGATAATAGAATGGTAACCCCGTCTGCGCTTTCAGTATACGCTAGCGGGTTTCCAGGGAGAACAGTATGGAGGTCAACCTGATAGGTTATACTGCCTAATAATAGGGTTGTTAAAATACATTACTAATAATCCTTTTCCTTCGGAAACATATATAACCCCGACCAATTTATCCGTTTATTCATTGTATATACTTGAAGCATAGAGTCAAATGTACACTTGTAATAGATATGTTTATTTTTTGCTTCTGTGTATATAAATAAATAAAAAAGAAATATAAACAATAACACTACTATTAGAGCCTGAACACTTAGTTTTTGTTTTTTTTTTTTTTTTTATCTGGATATAACCATTGATTTTAATATAAATTGATTAAGAACTAAAAGCACAGCACAATTTTGTTTTTCATTTTAGAATATTTTGTTGTAGTCGTACCAGTTATTTATATATTTTATATAATTTATATCTTACATATAAGACTGTCCCATTAAATTTTATTTATTTACAATATCCCACAGTAACACCAATCTTCAAAGCTGTTTTTACAAAAAATTTCAAGGAAAATTCAGAAACAAGACAATTATATATAATTGTGTTAATTTTTGGAGCCTATTCTGAGACACCATTCTTTATCTCTAAAATTCCAATTTAATATTAAAACAAATGAATAAAGACTAACATAAACTAAATTTCTAATACAATTGCATCTGAACTGTTTTACATTTAAGTCTTGATTGTTCATACATATTAGTTTTATAAAACTATCAAATAACAATTGACAACTTATGTCTAATAAGTTAATTTTTTATCTCTAAATTTTAAGAAATATAAAAGTATTTCTAAAAAATTAGAGATAAAGAACATTTATGTCACAGTAATGTTGGTTTCTTTAACCGATCTCCAAACAAAAATATAAGAAAGATGTATCCTCAGAATCGGCCACAGTATATTAATCTATTCACAACTTGGCATTTGATTGACCTTTCACTGAGATCAAAGGTCAACCAAGTGACCACCAACAACAACAACAATTAATATTAAGCGACACTGACATGACATTAGTTAAATACTTACACGCCGTTTTATTTCCCTTTTTAAATCGAAATAAAAGTTAATATTATATTTAGCACAAAACAAAATAAGAGGAATAAGAATAAAAGATTGAACTTAAAGAACAAAATATGTGAAAAAGCAGAGGATAAAAAGGTTTTGCCTTATTTTCAAGAGTATGGTAAATATTTCCATAAATGAAGTTTATTTATTTTTCACCGTGCCGCATTAGAAAACCTTCCTTGAATATATTATTTACTAGTAAATCAGTGTGACCGAGATCATTGTTTTTAATTAAATATGTATCTATCTACTTACTCCGGCTAAGCCGGAATTTATATCGGTATATAAAAAATCATATTTAGAACCCTGTGATATTTCATTAGAATGCTATAATAGCATAATGAATAAATAGACTAACCAGAAGTCTTATTCAGAGTCATATACTTTGTGAGACAGTGGGGTCGACTCTGATGGGTTATTTCTCTAAATCTATCTCTTAAGCTAATATTTTTTATAATTTCGCGAAATTAGTTTTATGAACTAACATCAATTTATAATAATAACTTAAATCTATTAGAAATTTAGATCATGCTAGTCCTTAGAATAAAAATTTTGCTTTGATATCAAAACGAAATTTTAATTTTAGAGATGGAGTTGGAGAAATAACGCTGCCAAATTATACGATTCTTTCCTTCAAATGCCGCATAGGCTCGGAGGGTTGTCACAAATTTATTCGCATTTATATACAAATTTTAAGACATCGTATTATGAAAGTGAACGAGATGCATGCTCTTACTGTGATGTATGTTGCTTGCTTGCAAGCCGCAACTTATAGAACGCCGTTAGTACATTAAAGTTGTTACTATTATTGAATTCACGGTAGTGTCATTTCTACCTACATGTTTACTCCTATAAGAATTGTGACAGCAAGCGATGTTTAGTTATATGTTTACAGCAAAATTTAAGATAACATAATCAGATAGATATCTTTCTGTAGTGCAATATACCTACCTATAAAATTTTGTTACAATACAAAGTACAAATTGCATATGTATTTGTATTATTTACTCTATCTCGATACGCACTTTTTTGAATATTGTATTCCAAAAAATAAGCATGGATAATTTTTTTTTATTTACGCACTGAATCGAAATCCAACGTGTCTTATTATGTTAATTATATGTAACAGAACAAATAGCGTATTCTTATGTTGGATGCTCATGCTAAGAAAAATACAGTTATCTTGAGTATACACAATTGCAATTTGATTGTCAAACACCTAAGACAGTTTTCAAACCCCTTAATTTTTATAGCTAGCTACAGTTCATCCTTGTTAATGACATAATAAATTCAAATATACGTGTAAAGTGTAACGTGAAATGACCTTTATATTTTAAAGGCCTGTGATTAGATCACGGCATTGTTAACACGAATGAGCAGAGGTGTATCAATAGACATAACAAATGAGCGTCAAATCTAAGTATATATTAGAATCTAAGTTATTCAAAATATACACACATTAAATTCTCAAATCGACTTTGAAAAATGTCACTCAATAAATAAATTATTGACACACAAATACTAGTATAAAATACGATAATGAATTATATAAAACTATTATTCAACCATACATCTTATATTTCATAAATGCCGACTGTGTTGACCACAAACTAATCAATTAATTAAGAAACGAATATCTACTTAAATATTAATGCTAGTGATGTATATTTAAAGGTGCCATCTTGGAAATGTAAACTTATTCATATTGGGCAAAAATGGATACAATATTCGCTGGTGATCATCTTGTTACGTATTGGCTCTTTTTCACAATCGTTCGTAATTGTCGATGGGTAAGCAGAGCCGTTAGCGATAGGTCAAGTTGACAACCGGGGTATCGGGAAACAAGTTATCGAATATCGACAAGATTAGGGTTTTATCGATATTCGATTCCTGTAGGTATCGATTACATTCGGGATTATATAATTATCAATTTGATTCATGAAGGACATTTATCAAATTGACCTGACGTGACCTTTGGATGATTTTTAATTATGTTCGTGCTTTTTCGGTGAGGTGGTTGGAATATTGTGATGCACTATAAACATTTTGTCGTGAAGTCTTTTAGTAACGCCTGTCATGCTTGTGAACGGTATAGACAGCCATTATACAATTTAATCTATATTTCTAGCATTAGACGTATAATATTTTTCTGTTTTTCATCTGTCAAAAATGTTGTCAATTTTTAGTGAATGATATTAAAAAATGAATGTTATATTAACTTATATAAGAATTAATATTATATAATTTATATATAAATAGACCACGCCTTAACTACGTTTTGTGAAATTTACTATCATATACTTTGGAACGATTACTCGTACGTACTCATATAAAAACGTCATACCTACTAACTGTACATAAATCAATTAACTAACTATAATGGTTAATTTTAGATATTTCATTATTTTCTGTCTAATAAACATATATCGTACTGTCTATTTTCATTTTGTTTATTATGTTTTCTATTTCTAGTAAATTTGTTATAAGAGAGGAAAAACAAGTTACTTTTAGTAACTTATTTTTAGTTTTGTTAGTAACTTAATAAATTATATTCATGAAACCGATCATTCTCCAATTATATAATTGACATATGATTCATAATAAACTGGAACGAGATCACTGAGTTTGTATAAAAACACAAAAAATTACTGAGTTATGAAAAAGGTTTTCTAAAACCTTTTCCCTGGAGATAGTTACACAGCGTCATGAATATCACGAGGTTTTCGTTTTGTGTACTTTTCTTAATCACAAAACTAATTTTTAAATAAAAATACATCGTCATTAACATAGTACAGTATAATTAAACTATGGCAAGAAGTTTTAATGGGAAATCAACTAGTATAAGGTTTGTTATAATCATATTTTACGTTTCTCCTTATTATTTGGGTCTATCTTAACAATTTTAAGAGGAGAGATTAGTATTTGGCCCAGTCACTGTACAGTATCTCAAAAGTTAGGGAAACATACGAGAACTATAGGAAAAATAGAATAAAATTAATTTATTGAATAGTTTAATGGCATAAACATGTTATTTTTACGATTGGTTACATACATTGATTATTTATTATATAAACTGTAATAATACAAGACGTTTATTTTTAATGATGGTAAATTGTACGAAGCAAGAATATTAATCTCATCATATCATCATCATATCTGTCACGCCTGTCTCCCATTAGGGTAGGCAGAAACAATGGAACGCCAAATGCTTTGATTCAAACAAAGAATATACATCATCAATCTTGTCATACACGCTTATATATCTATGTTCAAAAGTTAAACTTAGTGACATTTTTAATATTAAGCAAACTCAACCAAATGACATTTATGTTCCGCCATGTTTGACTTTGTGGCGGAAATTTTGAATTGAGAATTTATTTTGTGCCAATAAACATAGCCAAATAATAAAAAAAGGATATGTTAAATTTTCTTTAGTATACATTGGCTGTACTTAAGTTTCTGAAATATCTCCTTTTATTTATATTGAATATAAAATTATATATACTTTTTCACTATATTGTTGATTGATATAGCCAACAATAGATATCAACAAATTTGTATTTACTATTTTATTGAGATTATGAGCATGAATTACATTAAACCTTTCATAATTATTGACTACCACCTACTCCTCCTGAGAAATAAATAAGACGCAAGTTATGTGAATGTGACTGTATATTGTGAAATGAAAGCTGGCCATGCGTACGTTACAGTATTTAAAACTGCGCCTTATTTCCAAATAATATGTATGAAATTAGAATAGAATAGTAATATGTGCTTATAGTGGGACATGGTTCTTCTGCTTGCCTAAAGATAGACTGATATCAAGCAAATATGTCATCAGTTTACCTCAAAATTTTCCATAATTCCATTCCATTCCATTATAGCCTTCGTCCTTTGCTCTTTGTTCCATTATCAAAATCCACCTTCAGGCGCTGTATCAATTGTGATAAAACTACTATAATAACTTTAATGAAATATCTAAAATTGTGCCATATTACAATCATATAATTATAACATAAATTACTTGAATCACAACGGCAAGTCTTCTCAACACACCGAGTTCTACATCTAACTACATTAAGATGTCCCCACATTAATTTTGGAAGAACATTTTGGCATAGGGAGTTATTTCATGCATGTTTGACAAACTTCAGTCGAAATTTAAAAGTGAGTCAACATTTGTCTACAAATAGAGGTGATTCAACGGAAAATTATACCTTTTTCTCATTAAAAATAATATAAATGTCATTTACTTCCCACGGACATATTAAATGTCAAAGATTTTACATATCAAATTATTTATAATAGAATAAATATTTGTAAATTTGCAAATTAATTCTCGTTGAGAAATCAGAACTAAGTGTAACTACTGAGTGTGATGTTGTATGCAGTGGAAAAATAGGCTTTAAGATTACAATCATAAAGATGATTTCCGCTTAACTCGCATTCATTGAATCAATAAAAGAAAAAAAAACCCCTAAATAAGAATCTCAAAGCCACAACTTTCTATTTTGTAATTGTTATAATTATTTTATGCTTTTATAGTTATGCTAAAATTATATACTAATTGTGTCCAGTATGAATATTATGTTTCCAATGGATATAACATAATGTAAAAAATTACTTCATGTAAATTGTCTCTAAATATTCACTGCAAACTACGACTTTTTATTTATACTACATTCAACATATATAATTTTAGTACGACTGTAAAATAAATAAAAAAAAAAACGTAAAGGTCTTACACAGTATAATTTAATATAATAATAATAATAAATAACTTGACAAGAAAACGTGTCATTGGTATTCATATCCAAAGGGCTTTATATGATATTCTATTAAGTTCCACTTATGAAAAATATGTATCTCAAATCCCATTGCAGACTTGTACAGTTTTTAAACATTTTTAAACTCGTTCCGTTTTCTAGAATACAGTTAAAATGGAAATAAATTACCTAACTCATCAACTCAGACAATATACAGTAAAATAGTTATAGCATAGTAAATTATTAATAATTTTCAAGTTACAGTTCTTATATACAATTACTTAGTGATGGTGCTTACAAAAACAATATTGCACTAAAAGAAAATAAAAAGAAATGTGTTATTTGTTCTTCTCTAAAACTTTATAATATAGACAGAAAGTACAAAGATTTTTCAGAGTATGCTGGGACCAACTCTAGGGTGTTATTTTCTCAAATTAGGTATCTCTTAAATATAGTGAATTTAGAGGTTTAGAGAATATTGTTTTAGAAACACAATTATTCTTTATTAATTTTACTTATAAGTAAGTACATTTAGTAGAACTTAATTGCTTAAAGATCAATTGAGTATCGTAATTAAATGTAACTCACTGTATACACTTAGTTGAAGAAGTGTACGGTTTCAGGTGTGATTTTCTATAAAAAAAAATCTCTAAAATTTAAAATTTTCAGAGAACATATTTTCACAATTGTTTCTATTAGGTCAAATTCGTTCTAAATAATTAAATTCACTAAATTTTAAGAAAGATATTTTAATTAATCAATCTGCTAATCGAATGATTGGTTGATTGAATGACATTTCAGAATCGGCTCAAACATTCGAATATGAGATCCATAGTGAAAAAATTGCAATACAATTCGAAGGTAAAAAAAACCTAATAAATTAATTGAAAAGTCCGATCATTGAAATGAAAAGGTTTGTTAAAATAAAAAGATTAAATATACCCAAAAGATACATAATAGATAGGATCTGTAAGCACCTCGATATATATTTTATCACAAATCATTTGATTACATTAGCTACAACTTTATACAATTAAATGGAAATTATATGGATACTAACAGAATACTATTTGGGTACAAAATTTACAAAATATTTTATAAAAACAACGATATAGGTGTCTAATTAGTTTGTTTTTAAGTATTTTTAAGCCATGTTGATTATGATAGTTTAAAAATAAAAGTATACCTAAAATAACATTACAAGTCTATATTTATTATGAGGCTTATATTTAAATACTTAAAATCAAACCAAACTATCAATTTGATGACAAACTGAGAGCTGAGTTCAATATTATATTGAAAAATATATACAATAAAACTTGTTTTATATTTTTTAGTTATTAACTGTAGATCTACTAAACTTATTATAACTTTATTTGCCAGTCTTTATGAACTATTAAAAAAATTATAAATTAAAAATATTGGCAGACGATTTTATATATCTTTTCTACTATTTTGACATTGCAAAAAATCAAAGTTCGACAGTAACAGTTGAAGTGAACGTATAAACTAAGTTGTAGTAATATAAATAAGTATAATTAATCAATTATTAGGAATGTATTTTTTAACTAGCTTAAAAAAGGTTTTTTTGTTTTGGAAGTTTGTTTGATTTTTTTGTCTCTCAATTAAAAGGGTTCCCTTTCAGAATAGTCGAGCATTAATTTGTTAGAATTGTTGTAGGTTTTTATGTCAAAAATAGTTATTATTTATTTGTCGTATCGATCTCAAGTCACAATTATTTGACTTACTAATTTAGACGGATAATGGCGTGGGGCATAAAAATAAATATTACAGAGAAGTAGAGAAGAAATCACGGCAAAAGTCAGTAACGCAGTTTTATGGATTGTTGCATTCTTTAAACGCATATTGGAAACAAATCTATTTACCGATATGTTTATACTATCATCCTTATTACCTATAACAGCAAACACTGCGCGAACAATTGCTAATTGCAAAAAAAATTATATTAAGTAGCACAATTGCTTCCTAAGCGCGCAATAGGTTAAATGCATTCTTTGCCAAACAGCGTCATTTGTGATCTAGTGGCAAAATATAGAATTAATGCATAATAGTAATTTTAGTTCCTTAATTGTTCTGCAGAGGCAGCATCAACATCATATCAGAAATGAAGTTTAACAGTAAATATTGTGCAATTTTTAGATGTCGCAATTGTTTGCGATTATAGGTAAATCCCCCGCCCGCGTATACATGAGAAGAAACGAGACAGCAACACCCCGCATTTATTCGTTCTCGTGTGTGATAACGTAAGTGTATTTAGAAGATTTGTTTGGCACTTCGCGCCACGTGTCACAAAGTGTGCCCGACCGGTCACCACATGTATGTTGGAGTGTTAAATATCAGCGTCTCACCCTCAGTCTCTCATCAAATGGCTTAGAACCAATACCGTGATTGTTACATGAAAAACTCCCTGTTTTCGTGTGGTGGTCAAGTGTGTCGCATCTGTGTGTTTGTTGAGTTACCCGTCGGGCTCTGACAGTTCGGTAGGTCTATCACTGTGATCTCAATAACTCTTAGTCCTCTCAGTATGGGATCCGTGATATGTACACCTCGAGGATTATACACCCTCTCGTTTTGTGTTGCTATGAATTTGGACACTTTCCGTAAGTGCTGAAATAAAAAAATAAAAGTAAATATATCAATAATTATATAAATATATGACATAATACTTTCTCAATATTATAAATGTGAAAGTTTGTTTGTAACAAACTCTTGAAGCCTAATGGTTAACTCAATTGTCATGAAATTTGGCATACATAAACTAATATTATTTAACGTTAACTGTCCACTGCTGAACATAGGCCTTCCCCATAAGGGGGAGCTTTCCCAGTACTTGCCGCACTTGACAAGACTGGCAAGTGCAGATAGACTTTTGGTAATCTTTTAATAGAGACGCTGCTGGCTATTCCTTGTACATTAAATTTCCTTAGTCGCCTCTCATGATACCCATGGAACTGAAAGGAGTAGCCTATTTTATGCCGAGACCACGCGTAATACATAAACTATATGGAATGGAAAAGTTATATAAATCAATTCACATATCCCGGTCACGCGACGAAGTTGTGGATAAAACCTTATTACGCATTGTCGAAAGTAACTTTTTTAATCTCACAAAAAAAAGATGGTTCCATACAAATATTACTAAACTTTAATTTAATTTTTATTGCACTAAACAAGTATTAAATTATTAAAGAACGTTACCGAAAATATAATTCATAATGAATGATGATTAATCATTCCATTATCACAATTATCAAAAAAAGTTTCCACAAATCAACCATTGGACATTTTATCTAATACAAATAGGGTACTACAAGATAAAAAGATAATGTCATTCCCATAGTATGTAATAACTATTACTATGTAACATGTTGTAGTAATTCACCAAAGAAAAAGAAATTTTTACTCGACGACTGACGAAAGAAGGGTTTTTAATCTTTAAAAATATGAATTTGTTATCTTATGGCAACTCTATGGGTGGTTTATTGGCTAGACAAAAAATAGACAACTAACAAACCTTTTCATAATGTGTTTCTGTACAAATGTAAATGAAGTAAGCTGTAAGACAAGCTAGGCATCCTTCGCAGTAAGTACTGCAGTCTGCATTTTCCGCCATCTCAAAATGTTCATTCAACCGTTCCATTGTATATTCAAATGATTGTCTGTCTATCTGTAAATGCCATAAAAATATATATTAATAAAATTATCTATTTAATGTCTTAAATAGTTATGGTAACTTTGTTCCCAGATTGGCAAATTCTATAACATTTACTAGTACATTAGAGTGAGGGTAGCTCCTTCTAATATCAAAAATTAAAGAAAGATGAAAGAATGACTTAATTATACCCAAAGGATCACCAATAAACTATGTCAAAGTTTGATAAATTGCCATATTACAGCTTTATGTTACAAGAATTTTTAAATGATATAAACGTAAATTCTAAAAATTCAGTGGTTTACATCAAGATCACTACAATTCTTTGAAAAAGTAAATATTTTATCATAATAATTGTAGATGATTCTTAAATAACTAATGGAAAATTAAGAGAACCAATGATTACCTGAAATAACAACTACCTTGAAAGAATGGTTAAACCAAATTGTTATTTGTTATGAAAACACTTGATACATCAGGAAAGGGCATGACCCCACACTGCCAACATAGCTACAATGATTTTTCATAGATTTTACAGTGGTGGTTTTATTAAATGTATAAAAATAGAATGTTATACTGCAGGAGAATAAGTTAGATATTAAATTTATATTCACCACATTAGCAATCCTTCCTAATTTATAAGTTTCGTTGTTTATACATTACTTCTTTACATTACCTTGAAGCTCTATGCTTCAATGGCTAAATCAATTACTATAAATTTTAGATATATAATGTGGAATTGTGAAGGAAATAGACTACTTTATATCCCAATTAGTGAATATTCCTGGTCACGCAGATGAAATGATGAAATCACAGGTAAAAGTTAATAGTCAATAAATATACCTAATGTTATTAATCTTCATAAAACTTATTGCCTTTTTATTTTCAACAATATCTTCAATTTTAAAGAAAGTAACAAAATATTCAAACCTTATAGAGTGTCTCCTACAAATGCTTCACCAAATATAGGTCAACTTTTTTATCCATGTGTGCATAAATTGAGTTAGCAATATTACAGTTATATTAACTATTAATATATATTATAAATGTAATTTATATTATAAGGTTAAATTGAAAAATAAAAATGATACAAAATTCTTATAAATATGAGTATATTTTAAAGACTAAGATAAACAGTGCATAACAATACATAAAGATATTTCTTTTTACTGAACACTTTGATTTTTATATTGACATAAAGTATGTTTTGTTTTAAAAGCCACCATTTTAATTTATAGATGTATATTAATTTAAAAACAACATGTACATATGTATATTTATATAATATCAGATAAAAAAACCTTGCCACATTAAAAAAAAAAGTTTTGGTCTAAAAAAATTTTAGTCAGCGAAACACCAAATTTGCTGAGTAAATTTTAACATGTTTTAATATTTGATGCTATCTATAAAATGTAAAAGTAAAAGAATTGGTTTTGTTTTTATAAAGAAGACCATTATTTTATTAAATACAATTAAGTACTACAAAAAGTTAGGTATGTCAGCTGAAAATGTACTTGGATAACACAATGGAATCTTTACTAGGTCATACACATTCACATGTTTCTCGTTGAATCTAAATTTTAATTGCACAACCTAATTTTAGTGTGCAACATGCCACACCTACTTTTTAATATAACCAATCTAACTAACTTAATCATATGATCTCATTTAGATTCTTATATTAAATAAAATTACAATGACCGTAATAGGTATAAACTAGATATATTCAAATTCATAGATCACCTCTACTAGAAGAAATCAAAACAAACGCCCAAAGATGCACTTTCACTTACCCTATCTTCTAATTCGGGGGGAAATCTTGTTTGGAACTTGACCGATGTACCTTCAGAATAGTCTCTCTGGATAAATATCTTTATACCTTGCTGCGTGGGTGTCTGCTGACTTCCAGGCGTATTAGGGCCAGAAGGTATACGATTGTTTGCCATTGTCATCAACTTTTAAGTCAAAGTCCAAGTTTATGTGAAATCTTCAACACTATACGTGTTTTAATAGTATATCATAATTTCTGCGTATTCAATAACCACAATAAAATGACGTGAGATATTTTATTTAGTATTAATATCACGATTTTCGATTTCTTCCTGTAAAAACTAAGCAATAGCGATACATACGTCAGCGTGCGTTATGACAGCTGTCGTCAGTGTTGCTAGCTCCATTTCAGATTTTCGGACTTAACCATATTAAAAAGGGCTAAATGACTCGTATGTCATGAACAAACGACACTTAGTCTATTTAATATAATTATTATTCAATGTTATATTCTAGAAATGTGTTCCAGCAACGACTTAAACAAATTCATATGTAATATAATATTACCAATAAACTAACAACGAAATTGACAAATAAATATAATAATTATTATAATTAATAGCTCAAATAGATCCAAAGGATTTAAAAAAAAATGAAAAACAATATGGATGGGAAATTGGCTGCTTTCAAATCTTTTTGGTGTAGTAAAATATTTAACTTGAATAAATCACCTCAATTTTGCGCTATGATATAATTTTTTTTAATAGATTTTGGGTCGTAACTAAATAAATAAATATGAAGCTAGATTAGAATTGGCTAAAACTTAATTAGAGTGGGCTAATTGGCAATAATGAAACTGTTTGTCGACCTCTTGGACCATAAACAAGTTCCGAAACATTTTAACGGGAGTAAGGCAATCAAAGTAGTTTTTAGTTATGAAGTTCGGCGACACACTCTCTAATCTATGAATACAATTAATTATTATTACCTAGGTAGGTACTTACATTACCAATGGATAAGACAGTTGACATGTTTTTACAGTATTGAAATACAACCTTCTTGGAAACCATCATGTTTAATTCCTGGAGAATTTATCACTACAGGTCAACTGACGTAACATCATCTTTACCTACCCTGTACAATATAAACATTTATATTCATAAATATGATATTTAATGTTGTTCTGAGTGTTGTTGTTGAGTGTCTATGTATAATTATGTACTTAATAAAAATAGTAACTAAAATATTTATGAATTAAAAATAAGTATTTAAATATTTCTATCATTTTCCTAGTGTCTGTAGTATAAGATTTGCTTAATTTGGGACTGGATGGAACTATTTAATATGCTCAATTGTATTAATTTATTATTAGCTCATGCTCGCGACTTCGTTCGCGTGACCGAGATATGTTCATTGACCGGGATAAAAAGTAACCTATATCCTTCTCCATTCCATGTAGTACGTGTATACCAATCATAGTGATTGGTTGATCCATTAAGGATCTATGAGGTAACAAATAAGAAACTCACTTTCACATTTATAATATTAGTAAGGAGTAAGGATTATAATAAAGGTTCTATATATATGTACCTATATACGTTATCTTTAGACATAATGTATGTTTGGCGTAAACATGAAATTAGATTATACACCTATCCCCCGATTTACACGGTACTTGTTTTACACGTTTTCGCTTTTACAGGGTTTTCCAAATAAGTTTTTTTTTTTTTGTTTTTATTGCACTCTACTAAATGCTACTGTGTTTGAACACGTGCGCTGTGTACGTGTGCATCTCACGGGGAATCCCGAGTTTATGTGCTGACTTGCTGCACATGCACACTGTGTCTGTATTTCTTCGCATAAAATTAAAGTTTTATCTACGGAAAGTTGTATTTGAGTGAAAGTTTCACAGTGTCAGAAAAATTTAATTTTTTAGTTTAATGTATTGTAATTAAATAAAAAAACAGTGTTTCCGTAATATATTACATATTTTAACCTGTCAATGCATTTTATTTTTATTTCTGTGTACATCTAAAAATATTGAAAAAAATCACAACTGTTAAATAGAAAAATTATGCATTTTCTGCAAGCTTTTCGATTTACACGGTTTAGACTTGAAAATTTTTAGTTTTCGATTTACACGTTTTTCTCAGGAACGTATCTACCGTGTAAATCGGGGGATAGGTGTACGTAATATCTACTATATCTGTTCCTGCGTAGAATTGGTCATAATAATTTTGTTTGAATACTATTGTGTTATCTCGTAAATAATATACCTATCTAATGTCGTAAACCGAGGGGAAGGGATTGTTAGTAATTCCTACCAGTTCCATTGCTAGCAATATACCCTGTCAGGTCGATCTCCACGTGGTCCCCCTGGAAACCATCATGCTAAATTTCAGGTGTATTCATCACAGTGGGTTTACTGACCTGCTTTTTCATTTCACCTATTATCCCTCAGTGGTGGAAATATAGTTACAGTAGGCGGGATTACTACTTCATTATCATCCATTAAAAAAAATGCCGTAAACAAAATTCATACGAAGATATTATAAGCTACTATAGAACAACAAACGAGAGTCTAATAGACTTCGTAAACATGATAAGGTGATCTATGTAGATAGAGTATAAAGTGTCAAAAAACGTTACGAAAATCAGTTTTTTTTTGATGGGTGAAAATGGTATGGTAGCCCCGCCTGCGCTAACGGGATACGCTGGCGGAGCACCAGTGAAGGGTGATAGATGAGAATGAAAACAGGCCAGTTAGCCCATCATCATGAATTCATCAGGAATTAACCATCATAGTTTCCAGGGGGAACCGCGAGGAGGTCGACCTGGTTGGGTATATTGCTAGCAATAGAATTCTCAGTCTCCATTACTAACAATCCCTTTCCCCCCTACGAAAATCAGTTCGCTCATAGTATATTTTCATATCTATTGAGTGTTTGAATATTTAATTTGTTATCAAGACAAAACAAAAGTTTGAAAATTCTTGCAATGAATCCTGACCGTTTACGATCACGGAGACCAATTTGACTCCGCTATTATTAATTAATTGTCTACATTTAGGGGGCCATTAGGCTATTTGTTGTTCGGGTTGGCGTGCTCGAATGTGGCTTATGTAGCTAATCTTTTTAGAAAAGTTTCTTTAAATATTGACAGTAATATTTAGACACTTGTATTAATTTTAGTATAATGGTCGAGAGATGGGCAACAGCGTCCCTTTCAAAACATCTGTAAAAGCCTAACTGCGGTTGCCAACCCACCTACCAAGCTTGGCAACTACTGGCAAAACTTCCCTTATAGGAAAGGGTTATGTTCAGCAGTAGACAGATAAGGGCTAGAATAATAACAAAAAAATTTAGACATATGTTATATTCTAGCAGTAAATAATGATGGGGAGGGGGGATTGTTAGTAAAGGGTTCTAACAGCCCCATTACTAGCAATATATTCTATGAGGTCGACCCTCATGCGGTTTCCTAGAAACCATCATGGTTAGTTTTTGTCGAATTGCCTTCATTCCTACTTATCGTCTATCACTAGTACCACCACAGTAAACCGATACGTAGACGGGGCTACCATTCCATTCTCGCCCATTGAAAAATGAAGAGTAAATATAAATAAAATGTCCGTTCGTGTATTAAAACTTTTTAAAAGTTATGAATTATATTTTATAGGTTTATAAAATTTGGAGATGTTTTCCCTTCCTTTTTTCCTCAATCCTTTCATCCATACCGCAGGTGGCGGAAACCACTAATAAATGCATTCCCAAAGAGGGTTGACGTCAGGCAGGTGGCCGGTCGTAAAACTAAAAACCAAATCTTTTTGTAATATGGATAAAACCATATTATGCCGAACCCAAATAATAATTGAGATAAGGGTAGGAAGATGATGATGATACAATTTGGAGGTGCGCGCTATTTTTAAAAGCTGAGCCGTTTTTGTAGAAGTATTTGTAAGGAGATATCATAGAACACTTTACATTCTTTTCCCAGTTGTATATTATTGTTGTCTGTGCCTGTACGCAAATATAAGACCGATTTATCACGTTTACTGCAGCTAAGTGTTTGATAGGGAAGAAATGCTCTTGAGTGGTGACCGCGTAGGTGCAAACGCAATGTAGGACGACCCCTCCCACTAGATGAAATGATGACCTCAAATTCTTTGCAGGGAGTCAGCGAATACAGGTGCCTTAGGCCGTTACTTATAGCAGTCTATAGAGGAGGCCTATGTTCAGCAGTGGACAGATAATGGCTGTTAATGATGATGATGAAGGAGTTGATTATGAGGCGTCATTTCTCTAAAATTAAAATTTCAATTTGAAATCACAGCGAAATCTTGATGTTTAGAACCAATATGAACTACATTTAAATAATGAATATATTTAAATAAAATTGTTATAAATTTAGTTTGTTATATTAGATTAAGATACAAATATAGAGAAACAACGCTTCAGAATCTAGTCCAGTGTCTCAAATAATTCTATAGTGCAAACAAAAAAATTCATAAAAATAAAAAGCTATAGAAATCAAAACTATGTATTATTGCATATCCATCGGCTACCGATGACAGCTATTCAGGACGATTTCGCTGCGAGTGTCCAGTGAATATTAAACACGGAACACTTTGACGTTATATCAATTAAACTGACGAATGTGTGTTGCAACACTTTTATAATGAAACTTATATCCGATCGTTATAACTAAACGAGGATATACTTTGGCCCTTTTTCTCCTGTTGGGTAGCAACAAACGTAAGAATTTTTTTTATCTCAGCGAGGACGTTAGAATCAAGCGAAGGTATAGTATTTTATATTATCTGTGACAAAACGCCTGATCAGCAGGACAAACTTTTGAAGAGATAAAAATGGAATGGTAACCGCTTGCGCTGTTGGAAAGCACTAATGTGGCGTGGTCAACTTCATAGGATTGAAGCTCCAAATATAAATTAAATTTTGAAATAGTAACAGCAATAACATGGTAATATACCTTAGAAAATCATAGCAAGTAAGGATTTCTTAAAAATTCATTGAAATTACGAGACGGTCTTTCCCTTTATAATTACTTTTAATATCTTTTCAAAAAGTCCCAAACTCCACTAGAGTAAAGTCACCGTAACAGCTAGTTCTCAACCAAAAAGGTTGCAACCAATAAATCAGCTGTTATGCATACCATAAACCTACCACCGTACACCGTCTGTACTATAGCGTTCATTTACTTTTATAAATCAACTCACGCGCACACGCATCCGTTTTGCACCGACATCTTTCACTTGATAATGTGTGAATAGAATGTAAAACATAATGAAATGTGCCCTGTATTACGTAAGGAATGCGAACAACAAAGTTTATCTTGGTGTTTTGTGGTATCACTTTCTTTTGTATGGGTGTGGGTTTGTTCGAAAAGGGCGCAGCAGGGGTCGGTTACATGCATAACATACACTCGGAACAGCCCTAGGGCTGCAAGCGTCCAAAGGCTGCCTCCTATTAAACAACTCGTATTTTATCCTACCATTATTGCAGTATAAAAAGAAATTGGTCCTAGTACTTATCTACTATGGTTACAAGTTTCAATCAGGTGAACCGTTAGCTTGTTTGCTTATCTAAGTCTCATAACTAATGAATGAAAAAAAAACAATGTAATAGAATTTGATCCTATTTATTGAAAATTAATATTCATCATCATTATCATATGAGCCATTAACTGTCTACTGCTGATCATAAGCCTCTCCCTTTGGGGATTTTGCCAGTAGCAGCCACGCTTTGCAGGCGGATTGGCAACTGCAGTTAGGCTTTGGAGATGTTTTAAGAAGGACGCTGCTGGCCAACGCTCGCCCACCTTTATTCGCCTCTTACGATACACACAAGTAAGGAAGGCCTATTCTATTCCGGGACCACATGGCTAAAGATGTATATTATTATTTTATGAAAATTATCATTAACTATTTATAATTAACTAAAACACCACGTAACACCCTCATAGAAAATATACGGAAACACTTTTTGAAGTACATTAAAAATACGGTACAATTGAGAGCCTCATAAAATTTTGGAATTATATAAAATCTAGCTGTATCTCACGGCTTCATCTGCGTGGATAAATAACATAAAGTATTCTATGTGCGAAGTTAGATTATAACCTAATTGTGTATCAAAGTTAATTGAAATCCGTTCAGTAGTTAGTGGCGGACTCTCGGAGACAGAAGGAGCAGCCCACCCCGTATATGATTTTAGGAGGCCTCCAAACACCTCCATTTTTCTCATCCATATTTACATTCTATGTATGTTTAAATTAAACTTCACTTACAAGATTTTAACTAAATAAACATAAAAACTTATACTTACAAATGTGAATTGAATAAAAAGCTTGTAGGTTTACATCAATTTCTTCAACTGGGGGTCTTATTCAGTTTTGCCGCCCTGGGTTTTTAACGGACTTAGTGGGCCATTGTTAATAGTTATTGTGTAAAAGAGTAACAAACATTCATACACCTTTTTATTAATAGGATATTATCATCATCATACATCCCCCTACTTTGCCAATAGTTGTCAAACTTGGCAGGCAGATTGGTAACCTCAGTTAAGCTTTGTTGATGTTTTTAGCGCGATGCTGTCGCCTATCCCTCAACCATAAGGTTCCTTTAGCTGCCTCTTACGACACCCACGGGAATGGAAGAGGTGGCCCATTCTATGCCGGAACCACAAGGCGACTTTATTAATAGAATATATGATGGTGATAATCTTTTTATTACCTTTTTATTACTTACCATCAGTTGAGTTAAGATCAAACATAAAATCACCTTGTAATAAATAAAAGTATAGCACAATTACGATTCGTTGAGTTTTAAAAGCGTATTTATATGTATTAATTAATGTTAATAAGGATAAAGTGAGATAATAAGTGATGTGAATGAAAATTATAGGTGTAATTATTATAGGTATTGAGTCAAAATTTATCTAGTATTTTCTGGTCATGGCAGAACATCTGTGTTTTACTCTTTTGAGGATAATGCCATGAATTGAGATGTAACTATTTGTTACCATAATGTACACACGATTTTACTTTTATGGCCTTTTTATATTATTTCTTTTTCTATGCATGTAAACGGCAATAAAAAAATTAATAAATTAACATTTTTGTTGTTAGGAGTACAAATAATTTGCTTCCATTCTAGTTGCATATTTGAGAATTATGTGGCCGTTGGTCAAAGTATAATAATACTTTTAAAAACGTGGTTCCTTTTATGGGCTGGTAGGAATGTTCGTCTGGTATCTTGCATATTGATATTATTTGTGTTATAAGTATTATGTCGACTTTTAGCATGTGTAATAGCATTTACAAATGTATTATATAAAAAAATTAAGAAAATGGTTATATTTAAGCCTATATATCGTCATAGTCGTAGAATACTGACGGATCTTTATATGTAATCTTTGTCAGATCCGTCAGTATTCTACGACTATGACGATATGTTTATAAATGCAGACTTCATTGATATATAATATATATACTTGAAGTAAATACATATTTTGATTCCACAGGCAGGTAGCACCGATTATCAAGCACTTCTATTTCCAATCCTATTTCTAATAGACTTTTTATAGTTAATGCAAATTAATAAGTTACGAGTATGAAGAATGCGACGTAAACTTTTTCAATGAAAGTTCCCAAAAAAACACGCATTATAGTGACCTATCACAATAAATGCGTAGCAAAAGAACAAAATGAGAAATTGCCACGAACGAAGCTGCGAACTTGTATAACTGTGTCTATAGGACGGCCATAAAATTTTAATGACCTTGCATTGTTACATAAACCGTATTTTGGTTCCTTTGCTCTTTGAATCCTAAATGCCTATATTACAATACTATTATAGTACTGAATGTTTTGACTGCTAAGATAAAATGCAATCAATTAAATAAATGTCTAGATAACTCAATTATATTCCTTATAACTTCCTTAAAATAATCATAATAAAGTTGTCTGATAAAATTACAATATATATATATATATATATATATATATATATATATATATATATATATATATATATATATATATATATATATATATATATATATATATATATATATATATATATATATAAGTATAAGTATGTATGGTGTTTATTTATATTGTATACTTTGAATTTAAGAAAAATAATAGACTAAGAAACCAACTAGCCCTTTAGGAAATCACATTTTTCAAAAATATAATTTTTAGGAGTTTCTATTATTGATCTATTTTAATACATAAAAAAAGAAGAAAAGTTTATTAAGTTCAAAAGAAAGGTAAAAGAATTATTAATTAATTAAAATTATTACACTATAAAAGAATTCCTAATAGATAAACTTTTATAGTTATCCGTTGGGTACTAAAATACAAAAACAAATTGAAGAATAGAGTGACCTTTCACTGCCACTTGAAATCTATATAAATTTATTGAAAATATTTATAATTATTTTAAAATTGTAACATACTGTCATCTGTCAAAATAACTTCACCCTAAAAATAGGGTACCTGTAATAATAATAAATAAATAAATGCCAGTGCTAAGAACGGCGTTTTATTTATTTTACGTGAAAATGAAGGAACGTTCAAGATTAGATAGTAGTGTAAGAGAGATATATAATTCAAAGAAAAAAATGTTATTGGAAATAAATTTAAAATCGCATCTAGCAATACTAGACATACTGCTGCTGGGAATTGCTACCATGGTGCAATGGTGCGCGGGGGGAATTTTAGAAAAATGCATGGTGTTCGGGATGGAAATAGTTTATGGAGGGTTGCACGATGATGAAAAACCGCAGCTGGTTTTAATCTGATTAATTCTTTACACTCCCCATAATATATATACAATCTTATAATTTTGCCATTTAGAAGCATTACGCACGATGTTTGTGTGCCTAATGTGATTTGTACAAAGATTTATGTTTCGATTGCATTCACATTTACGTCAATAAACTCGATATTGAAAAGAGAATTGCCTCCTAGTGATAGTTTTGAAAACTCAAGTTTCTTAATGTTTTTTTTTATACCACTGAGGTGGCAAACAAGGTGGCTAGCAAGTGGTACCTGCTGGTAAGCGGTTACAGTAGCCTATGAATGTTTGCAACATCAGGGCATTACGCGCGCATTAACGACTCTGAAGAAACCTCTTTATCTCCCTTTTTTAAAAAATCCCAACTTGTAATTTCTTGGAAAAATATAACGTTGAACTATACATAACTCACTTCAGGAACTCTAAAGCATACAATAAAAATTACCTTAGGAATGACATGGAAATGATGCATGAGGTGTAATCACAGACATATTTGGGTTTAACGGGTTTGTTTCATAAAAATAGATATCTGCCAATTACTAAAATATTTTTTTAGATAAAAACAACATATAAAAAAAAATTTGGTAAAAATGACATATTTTTAGCAGATTTAAAAATCGAGGATTTTTTTTTAACTCATTTTGATGAATTTCCAAAACTTTTTTATACGCATACTTATGAAGTGTATTTTGAAACATATTCTGATAGTCTTTTTTATTTAAGCCAGATTTGATGCATCTTAAAATGAAATTTCACTTTTTATTTGAAAACAATATACATATTTTTTTTTATAATTATTTACTTTTAGATTAATGTTATAATAATACAATAACCAAAATAATGAATTATCAGCCAATTGTGAGGAATGATTTCGTAATACAGAAGGATATACACCTACTATTATTATTATTAAATAATATATTATAATAAATGTATATTCGTAGGGGTTAATACCCCATTGGCTAGACGGTCTAGTATAGTATTTTACTGTAGGTTTTCTGCAACAATTTTATATTTTTTATTATTCGAAAATAAAATTAATCTAGATAAAGATTTCTATCTCTTACATGATATTATTAAAATTATTTGTACTTTATTTCACTATTTTGATGAAATACGTAAAATATTATTTTTCAATGTATCTGTTAAAAAAACAAATGAGTTCGTTTATTTTTATAATTTTCTGTAATAAATCTACAGATCTATCAAAGTGATAGTTTTCCAATACAATGTCACTTGCAAATACAATTAACATGAACCAGGGCTTACACAGTACCTACTCCCTCATAATATCGCCGAAGATAGTACTCCGGCGCATTCTGCCATCACGTCACGTATTAATGCTCGTATATAAACCAAGCCCTGACCCACCTTAGCATACATTGTGACCGTTAATCAGACGGCAGCAAGTCGTCTCTGCCGTCAACAAACACATGGTGAAAATAAAGTGCAACATGGCCAAACTTTTAGTGCTATTATCTTTAGCAGCTATTGCTAGTGCTAACTCATACTCCGCGAGTAAATTAGTCAAAAACATTTATAACGAATGTTTGAGCCAATATTCGGTGGAATGTGTGAAACCGAGGACCCTGCAGTGGATTTCGCAAGTTGCCAACGAAGATGAGATCAAGATTACAGAAGACCTCACCATTGTGAAGACCGGAATCATTGAAGATGATGCTGAAGTAGACCCTAGGATGGCTAAAGAGCCAATGTATGCGATGTTCGATAGTTTCGACAAGTTCCTTCAAACTCACACCCTGAGAGTAAAGGTCCCAGAAGAAGTTACAAACAGTGCTGCCTCTGAATATGTACCAAGGTCTCTTCTTACTGACCTTCCTTCAGAACTCAATATGCCTTTGGATGGCGAAGAAGAGGTTGAAGAGTTTGAGGGCAGGAAGAAGAAAATCAAGCTCCCCAAACCCTTAAGAATCAAGTCCAGTCAGTAGTTTTCATGCAATTTTAATTATTAACAATCCAAAGAGCTTTAGATTTAACAGTTTTGTTACTTGCAGAACACGGCTTCATCAAGAAGATTTTGCTGCCTTTCTTACTCGGTCTGAAGTTTAAGGCTTCAGTTCTAGTACCTTTGGCGCTGGCTCTCATCGCTCTGAAGACCTGGAAAGCTCTGACACTTGGCCTCATCTCCCTTGTCTTGTCTGGTAAATTTCAATTCGTATATCTCTAGATATTTCAATTATTATTAACATATAAATTTAATAATAAAAATAGATATATATATAATTATAAAATATATATATCATATAAAGTTCTTTAATAATAAAAATTAGAAAAAAATAAAATAATGTAAAAATATATATATTACATGAATAAATGATTTTTGAATTTTGAATTTTTTGAATTTTGACAAAATTTTCCAATTTATTAATACTGATAATTTTTTTTTCTCCAGGTGCCATGGTCATCTTCAAATTCACGAAACCCAAGGTCGTCAATTACGAGGTGATCCACTACCCACAGCACCATGTTGAACACCATGTTGATCACCATGCTCCAGGCTGGGATGCGCATGGTCCATATCAGGCACGGTCGTACGAAGACGCTCACGAAATCGCCTACTCCGGTCAAATATAAAGGGAAATAAGCTTTAACCTAAGATGGAACTACGACTAATTTATTTATTTATTTATTTAATTTCACTGTAAATAAAGTCTTTATAAAATAAGTTTCAATTTAATGGACGAGTTCTTTATTTAAAACCTGAAATTATCACATGATAATAACACCAGCTTCGGAGAATTTCATATTAAAATCTTTATTTAAATACTTCGTATCAGCTGTAATAGTAGTATAAATTGAACCATCGGTAGTTTTTACGTCAGTTTTATTTGTCATATGTAATTTATTTTTTAGTACATTTAAAGTTGACGTAGCCTTAATAGGTTTAAAAACAGAGTTACTGTCCTCATTACTTTCTGTGTCCTCGAATAGATAATTTAATTTCTTTTGTTTCATTTCCCTATCATGTTTATGACCAATATTAGCTACTAAATAATTAATTACATTATCATTAGAATATATTTCGGGACTAGTATCGGCTATATAGTCTGGTTGGTTTATTTCCGGTCGACGTGATTTTTCAACATGAATTATGTCCTCAATATGTTTAAGATTCCTATCGACTCGCATTTGCTTTTCTCTTATACTTTCATTTGAATCAAAATGCAAGGTGGCATTCGCAGCCCGATTCGTTAGGAGCATATTATTAGAAAACGTTTTAAATATATTTGAACGTTTCAATGGATTCATTTTATAAAGATTTAATAACACATTGAAGTTATCTGCATAGGACCTTTTATTTCTATGTTTAGGTGTAATAATGATGTTACAAGATACCTGAAAATGAAAAAAAATTAGTATGAAATCTAACAGAAAATGAACTTCAAATTTATTAAATCTATAGAAATACAATTATTTACAACTTAATATTTTTGATGTTTCATACTATAATAAAAGTTATTTCCATTTACTATGTTTGTAATGTAAAGTATTATAAATTGTCAAATTCAATTTGATGCTGTCTAATCGTATATATTTTTTATATTCTGTTTCCATTAAGTTTTATCAATAAAATTACAAAAACAGAAGCTATTTCATATATTAAAAATTGAAATATCTTATTATAAAAAAATGTACATTATTTAATATTAGATGTTAATTGCACACAGGTTTATTTATGGATCCTTTTCACAGAACTTTTTTATTTTTTATGATATTTGAAATGATAGCTTGTAAATATGCACCGTGGATATTACAGAAAATACTATTATGTAAATGGTATTCCCACTCCATTTTAAGATTGTATCGTCAGTTTAGGAAGTACATTGATGGATCAGTTAATCAGTAAACTAGATAGAAGTCTAGATCTTACGTATGCGGGTAGATATTTAGTTTAATATTTTTCGACTTGGATTGCCAGTGAGTAGACTGAGGGTTATGTGCATCAAGTTAGATTTATTTTATTAGAAATCAGATTAAAATATACAGTGATCCAAGTATTTGTTTCTGTTCTAAACATCCTGATAACCGTTTCACTGTTATGCTTTTGGAACACTCTCACTGTCAAATGGCACGCACAAAGAAATACCAGGACGTGTGTTTATCGAATACAAAATAATCACCCTGTGTGTTAAATGTGAGAGTGTGTCATTCATTATTAGTCAGTCACTTCATTTGCAGTTATAGCTGTTTTTTTTATACTTAGAATAGCAAGCAAGCAGACCCACCCGATAGAATGGTAATCGCCCATAGACAAACAACACTATGATGATCTTTTTCTTAAAAACATATGAATTAAATTTTGACAAAGCTATATTTATGTTACTGGAAATACGAGTACCATATTATATTATTAGTTAACAGTCCATTGCTGAAGATAGGCCCTTCCCCTATTGGGGAGATTTGCTAGTAGTTGCCACGCTTGGTAGGCAGGTTTGCACCGCCGGTTTTTTTTTAATGGGTGATAATGGAATGGTATCCCCACCCGCGCTATCAGTATATACCGGCGGGGCACCAGTGAAGAATGATAGATGAAAATAAAGCAGGTCAGTTAGCCCATCGTGACGAATTCAACAAGAATTGTTCACGATGGTTTCCAGGGGAATCACGTGGAGGTCGACCTAATAGGGCATATTGCTAGCAATAGGGCTGTCAAACTCCATTGCTAACAATCCCTCTCCCCCATGCACCCCCGGTTAGGTTTGATGATTTCCATATAATAACGGAATTAACATATAGATAGACAAAATTTTAAAAAAATATTGTTTTAGTATGTATTGGTCTTATTAAGACCCATTACATTATTTTTTCTTAAATATATAATATGTACATTATATTAATAAAATGTGACATTGAGTTTACTTTCTACTTCTTGGTATCTTATTGGCTCTATCAATCATGAAATTTAGCATATACGTAGAATTTAGGAGAAAAATGAACATAGGCTACTTTCTATTCCGTTCAATCAATATCAGTACCGATCACAAGAAAGGAGGTGCAATTAAAAACTAGTAAATTTCTTTATTTTATTGACATATAAAAATTTATATGACAATGTTCATACAGTATTTATTTATACCACGAAGGTGATAAATAAGCGTACAGCTCGTCAGCTGGTAAAAGGTTACTGTAACCTATGGACGCCTGTAATACTAGGGGTGTCATGTGTGCATTGCCGACTAAATGTATAAGTTTTTTTTGTATATTGCATATTTGCCGATACGTACTAATCTTAGATTATATACATAGTGTCTCCATACGTTTGTATGAAGACACTATTTTCAAGAAAAGCGGGTCACCTTTTTCATACACTTTTGCGTGATAAATAGTTATGAGTGTTTCCTTTATAACTTCTATATTTATTTTGTTTTATAATTTTTGTATCTTTTTAATTAATAAAACTTCATTTTATTTATTAATTAATTAAATATAGATTTATTAAAATACATGTGTGTAAGTATATAGAACACTGATAAAAAACGAGTCACCTAATTGTCCAATTAAAAGTTGACCCGTTTTTGCGACTCGATGTTCTATCTATATAATCTAAGGTACTAATATACAACAATTCCATAAATAAATATGATGAAGTAAAGTGCGCGATGATGAAGTGAAGTAATGATGATAAAATAAAATATAATAAAATAAAATTTCACACAAAAGGACGAGTTACTCACCATAGCCAATAAAGTTAATTCAGTAGTTAAACTAAAAGTCAAATGGTACTTCATAGCAGGTACTTTTTAGAAGTACCTGCTTGTGTGTTTAGTACAATGCCTACAATGTTTACTGCTCTAGGATTGCATTAGGATTGTTCGTGTTTAATTTCTCAAAATATTTAGGTTTCATTAAACGGTTGTACACAGTTGAAGTAGTTTGCGGTGCGTTGAATATTTTCTTCGTAAGAAGAAGTAGTATTATTGATAGCAAGCAGCTAATTTTGTTCTTAAGTATAGCTAGTGTTAGTAAATTAATATTTGGTGTCTTGTGTGATGTCCGTGGTCGTTCATGTCTATAGGCAACGGTTACCATTTTCTATATGGTGGGCCGTCAAATAGATAGATAGGTAGACACTATTTATTGTTTCCTTCATTAGATTATAATAGTAAACTATATTATAGACACAAATAATTACAAGAAAAAATCACAGTGAGAAAACAATGAGCGGCCTTATCGCTAAAAGCGATCTCTTCCAGCCAACCTTTGGATGGAGAGGAATAATTGTAAATAGTTTGCTATCTTAAGTATATTTAATTGATGACATTGTTAATAATCACAACGATCCCTTTATTAGTTTAACGAACCTCTATTGATGTGATATAGTATAGTACGATTCTTCTCCCCATGGATAATTCCACGGAATGTGGTACTCTGGTTTAGGAGCAACTTCTTTCTTAATTGGATCTTGGTAGAATCTAGTGTCCAACCATTCGTATTTCGCTTGTCCCATGTAAGCATCGTAGAGGAAATCTAGTACCGAGTGACGGTCCAATACACCAAAGTAGTGTACTATTTCGATTGAGCGAAGTCGCATCGATATAGCCCCTAAGCCAAGGAGTCCGTCATACCGCCAAGTTTTACCCTCGCCGACACGGTGCATAGCTGCTCCTGACTCCACTCCCAGCGGAGCCCAGTACCCTGGTACGCACAGAAACCAACCCCATTCGACCTAAAATTTTTTTGTTATTAAATAACGAATACTGTACTTGATTTTGTCTTGAAACAAATGCGCAATCGGGACTGCCAATCCATTATCATACATTTATAGAATAATTTAGTTCTCAGGAGTGACAGTGAATGAAGGGAATGTTCATTACAATCTTTTTCATGATATCTTTTATCATTATCTCAGCCATTACCTGCTTACGGTTGAACTTAGGCCTCCCCCATAGACGGTGTCTATGATACATTCATATTTATTGGAGACAGCTTCCATTTTCTATAAGGTAGCTCGTCAGCTTTTTTGGCATTTCAAGTGACTTAAAAATACTTTCGCAAAATCAATTTCTTTATTAATAAAACCACGAAGCGAGTTGTCCGTATGGGTAAAAGCAAATTCCTTATTAACAAAATTAAAAATAATTAATTCGAGTAAAGACGAAAAGTTTGCGTATTGCTATAACGAAGTCTAATATGTTCTCTCTGAATTTTTCTTTATGTAGAAATCATTTAAAATTAATTTACAATAAATTTACGTTTCGTGAATCGAAATACACGTAAAACTACATCAGAGGTCTTCATGTATAACGAAGGTAGCTTAAGAATTTTTATCATAAGATACCTCAATATACACATGTATAGTCATAGGATAAAAACAATAGGCTCCTTACCTTAGGACAAGGAACGATATGCCTTCTAGTACGTACGACATACTTAAACCAAGGCATGGGTTTTCGTTTATAAGCACGTATGAATTGAAATCCAATTACATGAGTCATTTCATTATCTAGAAAAGTTGGTGGAGAATACTCCCACCTGAAATAATTTGACAAATAATCTATAATTTCTTTGTTACAAAACATTTTTAACAAGGAGATGCATATAATCTTTAACTACATAATTTAAATAAAAAACAATTAGAAATAAAGTTGTTCTTACTTATGTGAGCTAGCTCGATTGCAAATATAAGCTTTAGCACCTGGCCAAGAAGATCCATAGAACCGATAAGTCATTGTCCATACTGATAGATCATACGTTATAGGAAATGGATGGGAACGATTCACATCTTTTGGATAAGTATACTGAAATAGTTATTAATACTGATAGATAAAGACTTGACAATTTTGTTGCGTATCACAACGTGCAGAGTATAAATTAAATAGACCGTTTTTTTTTTCCAAGGATTCAGAAATTATATATATATATAAATAGTTTAATAACAAATTTTCATATCGAATTTTCTCCATATTTTTCAATTAACTGAAAAAAAGAATCTTTTATTTTTTAAGTTCTTTACATCAGAATTCCGTCATTTATAAACCGACTTAGTTTTTTTTTTTTGTGGAAAAAGAGATCTCTGTCAGACCCTCTTTGGATTTTATCTGCAGTAAAATACAAACCATGGCCCACTTTCTATCTTGCCCTACCTGCCCCATCAGTTTTTCGTTGGAGGACTTAATGGACACCACAAAAAATGTAGTCCAGGTGCCCAACTTCTGGGTTGTGAATATCTAGCTCATTGTCTTGCCAACGATTCGTTAAGAAGATGATGATTTCTAATAACTGGTCTTACCGAGATTACTAAAGAGGGTACAAAAGTCGTTTGCTTGGGTACCTCTGTCCTATTCGTGTTTCTACCGTGAAGCAGTTGTGTTTGCATGGCTGTGTTTCGGTTTATGGTAGTGAATTTTTAAGTTCAGGAATTTACATCATGCTCTTATGTCCATGGTCATTATATAAACCGTTATATAGTTTTTATAAAATAAAATGTGCTTATTTATTAAATTTGAAATGTACTTTTTTTGGATGATAATGAATTTGTGCTGGAGTAGCATACAATGAACTGTTATAATAATTACCATTATGATCCAGACACCTAATATGTTCTCGAATGTTCTGAAGTGGATTTTATCTGCTGATGAAAAAATTGTTACAAACCAAAGGGGGTAAATAGGTTTCTTCAGGGTCGGTAACGCACGCGTAATACCTCTGGTATTGCAGGTGTTCATAGGCTACGGTAACCACTTACCATCAGTTGGGCCCTATGCTTGTTTGCCACCTCAGTGGTATAAAAAAAAATTTATTTAGTAATCAGCGCAATTACAAGACTCAGCCGTTTTCGCGGCAGTTGCTGTTGGAAATGGACACCATAAAAAAATGTAGTCCAGGTGGCCAACTTCTGGGTTGTGAATATCTAGCCCATTGTCTTGGTAACGATTCGTTAAGAAGATGATGATTTGAAAGGATATATTAAACCGATTCAGTATTTAATATTTTAATAATAATAACTGGTCTTACCGAGATTACAACGCAAGTTTCTGGGCACTCTGAGGGGAAAAAATGACAAAAAGTTTTCGTTTGCCACAAAACGTTTTAAGAAACAACCTTGGGTGATAGCGCCATGTCTGCAGAGGACAATGCCTATTCGTGTTTCTACCGTGAAGTCTTTCAGTTGTGTTATCGAAGCATGGCTGTGTACTGCCAAATTAAGACAGCCAATTAATGCTTGATAGGAATTAGACTCACCTGAAGATTTACAGTTTTGCATTTCAAACCTTTTTAACAAACTTTCAATATACGGAATGAAAAATAATTTTCCAACTCACATTTGAAGTTGTCAAATGTTACTTCATTTTTAAACATAGATCATCAACATGAATTTACAGGGTACAGTTTGAGTGAATAATACCCGAGTCCTCAGGAATGGCAACGCACGGGGGATATCATGGACGAAACAGTATATGCTCTTATGTCCATGGTACTGCTCATGTCTATAGGCGACGGTTACCACTTTCCGTTAGCCTAAAAAAAAGTTAACTCGAAGTTATATAGTTTTTATAAAATAAAATGTGCTTATTTATTAAATTAGTGAAATGTACTTAGAATAAGAATTATTATCAGGATGAACTTACCAATGGATGATAATGAATTTGTGCTGGAGTAGCATACAATGAACTGTTATAATAATTACCATTATGATCATACCAGACACCTAATATGTTCTCGAATGTTCTGAAGTGTCTACGCTTTCTCAATATTAACTCAGTAGAGGTGGCTGTGGTAAGAGCGTGTCTTGTTGTAATAACGGCACATCCAGCGATCAAGCGTAACCTTTTGAATACTGTGGTACAGTAACATCCCATCAAATGTGCCTGATCCTGATGAAAAGTTGAATTGTTCTAGTTTCAAAGGGGGGTAAAGAGGTTTCTTCAGGGTCGGCAACGTACGCGTAATACCTCTGGTATTGCAGGTGTTCAAAGGCTACGGTAACCACTTACCATCAGTTGGGCCCTATGCTTGTTTGCCACCTCAGTGGTATAAAAAAAATTCATTTAGTAATATGTGTAGACCGCAATTACAAGACTTTGTTATGCATACTAGCCGTTTTCCGCGGCGTTGCCCGTTCTAACTTTTAACCTTGATATTATTCCCATTGGAACTCTTTATGAATCCGGTCTTACATTGTATTATATACTTAAAAGATAATTACGTACCTAATATCTTCATAAAGTTTCAGCCAATTTAACTGATCGGTTATTTTATAGCATTTCATATGTGACTATTTAGATTGATATAACTTTTTTATTTATGAACCGATTGAAATGAAGCATACACTAAATGTCAAGTGAAGCAAACCGCAACGCATTAGTGAAAACCGCATTCAAATCTTTTAAGCCATTTCTGAGATTAGCAAGTACAAATGTACAGACAAATAGACAAACACAAACAGACAAAAACTTTAAAAAACATTGTTTTGGATTTTATTGCGTTCATAAAGCCCCCCAATATTAGCTTTTCTTAGATATTTCCATAAAGACAGCAACCAGTTACGATATTGTTATATTTATTGATATGAAAGTGTTAAGAGATATTTGGATGTTTGTATATTTATTCATCATCATCACCATCATCATCATTTTTCAATCTAATTTGAACGGCTGAATAGAATTCGATACATGGAATACTTAGAATACTGATTAACGCAGGAAAAGCTGCGGGAAATGGCTTTTATTATATTCATTTATTTACCTTTCCCCACCATTGTGACAGTTGTTTATGTGCTGGTGAAATGCGATAGGGCCTGTGTTCTTCTGTATAATAGAGACTTCTTGAGAGTAATAGTTGTTGTTCTACTCTGTAGTCTGGACTGTCTTTAGGCGGCGGTATTGTGACGCCATCCATACTGGTCAAAGGACTAAGGGTCGTTGTAGGAGGATTATGCTCTAATTCTATATTTGGATGGCCATTTATTACTGTAGCGATGTAGGTCATCCTGAAAGCACCAAGAGATAACAAATAATTAAGTTTTTATTATTAAATTTTTTTTGCTGTACCTGGAATGGCAAAAAAGTTAACGGCCCACCTGATGCAATATGGTAAGTATCGCCTATAGATATGAATATTCTCTATTATAATTTGGTTATAAACATACAAAATGTAAAAGTGTATTTGATATTAATAAACAATTGATTATAATTGATATATTTTATCATTAAGAACTTAATGAAAAAAATATTCCAATGGCCTTCCTATTCTAGCATTATTTTCAAATTATTACTTTTTTTTACAAAAAATGCATCTGTCACCTGATTATAAAATATGCAACACCAGCGGCATTGCAGGTGGTGGCCTTTTAAAAAGGAATATATTAAAAATATTGTCGTATCGGTTCAGAAATATAATTCCAAAGAACGTGGAAGAAAGTGCCTTGCAAAACGCATGGTGGAAGTGAATTATTAGTTAAAAATGTCTATCAATTATAAAATTTGCAAGAAAGAGTGGTGACATTAAAAATGCAATATAATATATTTTAGGATATTTTAGTGATTATAAAAAATAATAATAATAATGAAAAAAACAATACCATAATAGCAGTATATTCATTTTGATGTAGTTACAGAATGAATGTCACAGATAAAGGTGTAAATAATGGCTTTATAATCGTTTACATTTGACTTAAGCACACAATAAAAATGTTGCCAGTCCAATACAAAATTACCCAAGTGAGAAAAAATTATTATAAAGGTACCTAATTGTCTCTTTTTTATTGTTCTGCCTCACGTTGTATTGTTATTTGAGATTGGCTTTTTCAAATATTTTCAGGTCATCTTGTTCTCTTAAACTATGGGATTCTAGCGGGTATAAAACTTAACGCTGTGAAATTATGATCTTATATAGAACATTTGTCCTTCTACGTTTGCTATGGAAGATCATACAAAAGATTTGTCAAAAAAATATAAAGTACCCTACTGAAATGTATATATAATAGAAAAATATCATTTTACAAAATAAAATGCAAATACCGTGATTTAGAATTTAAATGAAGTCTTGATATTATTCCCAACAATAAGGCTAAAAAGTAATATAAGGTAACATTGATATGTCTAAACAAATATTTACTGTTCAGAAATACCACCATTGGAATTACAAAATAAGCAGCGCTGGACGTTGGTTGGATGTAATGGTAACAACAAAGTTTTGTCGACATTTTTAACCGATTTCAAATAGGGAGATTTAGGGTTAATCTTACGATATAAAGGTATTGAAAACATGTTTATAAATCTTACTACAAAATAGCTTTTAACATCTGTTTATGTTTAAATAAAAAAGTTTACAAAATATTATTATTATTATAAATAAAATTCTATTTATACAAAGTCTACACGTATTTAGTCCTCATAAATAGCAACGCATAGGACGTATCATGGGCGAAATAGTATACTCTGTTATGTCTAAGGTATTCTTCATATCTATAGGCGATGATACTACTTTTCATCAGGTGGGCTGTCAACTTGTTTGCCATTCTAAGTTGCATAAAAAAAAAGATATTTAAGGAGAATTTAGATAAGGGGTCTTTATAAAAGCAGTTGGAGACAATAATTTTTAGAAATGTCTGTCTGTAGATTTGTTCCGGCATTACGTAAAAACCATTGCACCAAATTGGACGTGGTTTTGACAGTTGTTTACCTAAAGGTTTAACTTAAAAACTGGTAAATTTTTTACCTTTATACGCCATCTAAAAGAGACCTATTTCATTGGTTTTTCATGCTTCTAAAATCCATGCGTACGAAGTAGTGGCGAAAAAATTAGTCAAAAACGAAAAGGTGTTTAAAGTATCAATTCTTGGGTGTGTGTCTTCCTTCACAGTAAAAAAAAATGTTTAAGAGGATACATACAAAAAAGAAAAAGAGGTAAATAGGTTATTTAGTCTAAATGAATTATTAAATGTATATCCGCTGTACATAATGTAGTCACGTTCATAACTATAATTGGTGTCCTAATAAGGATGTATATTATACCCACTGTATAATAATAATATTATACTTTCACTAATCAAAATTGGTATTCGGCTGATACCCAGTTTTTTTTTTATAATATAGGGATAACTGGGCATGCAGTTCACCTGACAGTATTCCGAGTTATTTCAAATTGAAATTATATCCTTTTATTAAATTTCATTTAATTCCAAAACTAAGACACTAATATTATAAACAGTAGAGATTATATTATTATTTTGTAATTGATAAACTCAAAAACTATTCAATCAATATTAAAAATTCTTTCACTTATAAAAAGCTATATTATCGTCTATTAAAAAGCTATATTTTCGAAAAGTATACTTTTTTAGGCGATGAGATGTATAACCGGCGAAGAAAAGATGATGAATGTGGAAGAAGCGAAAGAGGTTTGTTTGAATCGAAGCATTTGGCGTTCCATTGTTTCTGCCTACCCTAATAGGAGACAGGCGTGACAGATATGTATGTATGTATGTTTATCCTACCTGTGTGAAGCTGAGCTGAATCGCTAGTGTTTAATAAGAACAAAAATCTATCAATAACCTGTCTTATAGATTCATCATCTTTATTTATTTATTCTTTATTGTACACAAAAAATTATAACATATATATAAAATAAAGATGTACAACAGGCGAGCTTAACTCTGTAATAGTTCTCTTCCAGCAAACCCTGAGTGGAAAGGAGCATTAATTTCTAGCGGGCAGTATGCGTACAATAATAGAAGGAAACATTATAAATTATTCTATTAAAAAATTATAAATTATGTTGATATATATAAGTAATTCATACAATTAAAATCAAAATACATACATATCTGTATACAGTAATACATATACATATATCTTTCTAGCCTTATCCCAATTATTATTTGGGGTCGGTGTAATCTAATATTTTTATTATAGACTACTAAATAAAATTTTTTAATGAATGATAAGGATATAGTAAACCTGCCTGTGCTGTCAGCGTACACTGATACCAGCACTAGATTGAAGTATGTTTCTGTCAGATTTGTTTTCATAATGTAGGGGGTAAACGAGCATGCAGCTCATCTGATAGTGATTACTGCCGCCCTACATGCATAAATATACTTGGGACATATAATGCGGTACAGCAAAATAGTCTTCTGCAGCTTATAATACAGAGAAAGATCTAAGGTTGGTGAAGACCAGGCAGACGCCGATCCTCCTGGTTAAAGAAATCTAAGCTAGTAGTTCAAAATGAGCATCAGGACGCTTTTCAGGATGGCGGTGGTCAAAGTATGATAAGACGCCTTAAGAAAAGAAGAAACAAAAAATTGCGAGCCTTTTAAGAAGGAATAGCTCTACATATCTAGACTTTTATCATTTCTGGAATAATTCTAAGGTTATGGAGAAGTGTTTTTTTTTTAATGGGTGATAATGGAATGGTAACCCTGCTGTGCTATCGGTGTACGCTGGCGGGGCACCAGTGAGGAATGATAGGTGATGATGTAAGCAGATCAGTTTGCCCATCGTGACGAATTCTACTAGAATTAATCACGATAGTTTTCAGGGGGAAACACGCGGAGGTCGACCTGATAGAGTCAGTTAAACCCCATTACTAATAATCCCTTTCCCCTTTTTATGCGTGAAAATGGCATGGTTCTCCGCCTGCGCTATCGGTATACACTGGCGGGGTACCAGTGAGCGGATGATAGGTGACGATGAAAAGGCAGATCATTTGCCCATCGTGACGAATTCAATGATAAATTAACCACGATAGTTTCCAGGAGGAACCACGCGGAAGTCGACCTGATAGAGTCAGTTAAACCTCATTACTAATAATCCCTTTCCCCCTCTAGTGGAGGGTTAGGTTAGTAGTAATAAATACATTAAAATAAATAAGTTTTTAATTAAGCCTTAATTTCATTACTCATCGTTACAAAATTTTTAAGAATTAACAATGACTGTTTTCAGAGGAATAGCGTGGAGGTTAACCTGATACAGTATATGGGCAAATAACGAAGCCGTTAGACTCCATTAGGTACTAACAGTCAAACACTTTCTAGGCTAATAAATCCTCTGATCTGTGCTCGGTAGAACGTTGAGTGAATGAGTTGGTGTATGGTTTTTTTTTGATGGGTGAAAATGGTATGGTAACCCCGCCTGCGCTAACGGAATACGCTGGCGGAGCACCAGTAAAGGGTGACAGATGAGATGAAAACAGACCTGTTAGCCCATCATGATGAATTCATCAGGAATTAACCATAATAGTTTCCAGGGAGAACCGCAAGGAAGTCGACCTGGTTGGGTATATTGCTAACAATGGGATTCTCAGTCTCCATTACTAACAATTCCTTTCCCCCCTGGTGTATGGGTAAATGAGTTAGTATGTTTGTATGTGTATCCAATATTCCAAATTAAATCGGGATCAGGTCCACCTTCATTTGAAACTATTGGGTCAACAGACTTGACTTTATCTTCACTTATCATCCTTCATTGGTACCCCACCAACATAAACCTATAGCGCGGACCCCTGCCTACTAATAACTCCCTACTAGTAAATTTTATCAATTCAATTTATTAATAAAAAAAAGCTATGGTAAATTAAGGGTACGTTAGCCAGACGGTATATAGTTTCATTCGAGTTTACTTTACATCAATTTTGTCATTTTTGAGTGTAAAATATTTTTCTACGAGCATTTACTATGTGTATTCGAATGGCATAGTAGTATGCTAAGCAACGTTTCCAACGTTCCTAACGCCTAAATTGTCGCGTATAGGGCCATTTTAATCAAAAGAGTTTCAAATGAGCTCCCCGCCGAAGGTTTCAGGCATTCATAGGCTATAGAGTTATAATACTCTAGTCCATAGGAATGTTTTTTCTTAAAAATTACAGGGTACAGAGAAATAACATCTGAGTCCTCAGGAATGGCAACGCATCTATCATGGGCGAAATAGTATTCTGTTATGTCCATGGTACTGCTCATGTCTATAGGCGACGGTTACCACTTTCCATCAGGCTACAGAGGAATAACAGCTTGTTTGCCATTCTAAGTTGTATAAAAAAAAGAATGGCAACACATGAATAACGACACAGTATGTTATGTCTATTGTATTGTTCATGTCTTCAAATGACGGTTACCACTTTCCATCAGGTGGGCCATAAGCTCGTTTGCCTAAGCTACATAAAAAAGCCTACAGTGACCGTTCATCATCAGATATCAGACTATATACTTGTTTGCTACCTTAGTGGTGTAAAAATATCGAAAAGGTACTAATAAAAAATATATTAATCAACAAACAATTTTATTATAAAACATTACAACTGACATGTTTGTTGCAGTCATGGAAAATTGAAATGCACGATACGAGTACCTTAGTAAAAATAAATAAGTTACAATTCTAACGTCCTAGTGACTGGATGGTACTAATTCTACGTACCTAAATAATAATAATAAATTATTATAATAAATAATTACAATAAATCATATAAACCAATCTTGACTTACTTCGAGAGATTCATGGAGAATCATATACAATGATAGTTATAAAAAGAGACTCTCTTATGGCAATTTTGCATGACCAGTAATCCGTAAAGTGGACAGTTCAATCGTACCATAAAATAAATGCATAGTCAGGAAAAAAGGCAATAAATTCAGATTTCCAAATTATTTGTATGCCTTTGGAAATGAGTATATTGAGTTCAACTAGATTAACATTAGGATTGAACGCATATCATAAAAAATTTAAATAAGCAAATGCAACGATATATGTGCGTTAGTTAAAATCCTTTTAAATCTATGTCTATGATGTCAAACCTTGATTATATAGATAGAGTATCTCCATACAAATGCTTGGAAAAGCGGGTTAACTTTTTCATACAATTTTGCGTGACAAATAGTTATGTTTTCTTTATAACTTCTATATTTCTTTTGTTTTATAATTTTGCATCTTTTTAGTGCGTACATATATATACTCATTTTATTTATTAAATGATTAATACCATATATAGATACATCAAGATACATTATGTGTGTAAGTATTATAGATCACTGAAGAAAAAACAAGTCAGCAGCATTTGGAAATTAGATGACAAAAAGTTGACCAGTTTTTGAAACTCGATGCTCTATCTATATAATCTAAGTATAGAACATACATCAAAGCAATGGTCACCATTTTTCATTTTTCATTATGTAGCATAACTTGTTTGTCATTTCTAGTAGTAGAACATGCGTACAATCAAAGTAAGCGCATTCTTATTACTTTTCAATAAATGTTTGTTATATGTTCTTCTCTATAAGTTTATTATAATGCCCCTTACTTATTAAAATCGTGCTATTCGATTAATTATTAATTAATTTAGAATTAAATTTTAATTTATATAAAATAATGACTTTACACATGAATTAGTCACGGAATATATTAATTTACTTAAGAGAGAAATATAGTATCTGTCCAGTTTATTAGACTATCAATGCTTAATAACAAAATTTATAATTTGTATATTATTAAATTGTGTTACTAATCTAGGCATACCACTATAATGAAATACCCAAACCACACTTATAATAATATCTACCACTTCGGTGTACAATAATTAATTAAAAAATATATACACGGACATTTTATGTCGAAAGCCTCATAATGACACATATGTTGATGATCGATGGGATGGGGAGACAAACTAAATAGTTTCTTTTTTTTATAGCAGTTATAAGTAAGGGGATTATGATTTTTCACATAAATTGTGAATATTTTAAACGACGTTTATGATTTCCACAATTCATTAACAATGCAAAATTTAAATATTATTTGACAATTATATAAGTATAATTATGACCAAGTACTTGTTGTTGACTAAAATTATATTAAATTAACATAGAGAGTTTTAAAAAAATTTACTGGTTATAATTGTTTTCAATTTCCAATGTCTCGTAAACTGGGCTTGGTTTAAGTTTTAGATTTTAAAACTAAAGTTTTAAATATCTTAAAACTAATTATTATTTATTATATAATATAAATTAGATATGACAACAATTTATCTTATTGCTAGAAAATAAATAATCAATATTTCTCTATTACTGCTAAGTTTTGGACATAGCTGCAAATAAATAAATAATTTTCTAAATGCAATAAGAAACTCTTATAGAGTTATTATTATTATCATTTACATAATTCTCTTTAATAATTAAATAAATTTAAAATTTATACTTAATTATCTATACATTTATATATTTTTTGATAACTTTTAATATGTGATGCTTAATTATTTTCAATATTGTATTTTATTATATAAGATGTTGGTAATAAGTGTGTATACAAAATACAATAATGAAATCAAGTCTTGATAAAGAAAAAAATTAACGAAATGTCCAGAATCAAAAATTGTAAAATTTTATAAAATATTGAGCTCCCATACTAACTTAACAGTTGGACATACCGTGTTATTATGGGAGACTGGACATTTTTTCGATTCATGTTCCTTTGATTAATGTTAAGTTTCACTTGGTAGAATTATCTCTTAAAAGAATGATAACGATATTGATTCTATTTTTTAGAAGGGAGATTTTTGTATGACTCGAATAAGTACGTACCATTGCTTTACTTATTTATCTTTTGGCAGTGGCAGATTTACACATTTACCACAAGTAGGCTATTCAAACTTTACCGAATTCTATATTTTGGTACCCTATTTTACAATCATTTTAATAACAATTTATTTATCAATAAAACTGTAAGTCTAGTGCTAAACTAGACTTGCTGTTGCTTAAACCTGCTGCTCTAGGTTCCAATCTACGCAAACTGTTGGCAAATCCGCCACTAGCTTCGGGGGAAATAAGGATTACCCATTATTAAAATGGGCTATAAAAGATTCATTGCTAACAATAACTGATAAAAAAATCAGATCAACTTTCATATGGTTATTCCGAGAAATCATCGTGGTTAATTCTTGTGGAATCATTGCGATAGACTAACTAACCTGTTTTAATCTTCACCTATTATCTCTCACTGGTGTGCTGCCAGCATATACGGATAGTGCAGGCGAAGTTACTATTCCATTTTCATTGATTAAAAATACTGCATCAGCAATGGACGGAAATATAACAATATATTGCGTATTGTGCTGTAGTCCAGGATAGTTAAAAATATTTTTGTCTTTCCCGCCAAAACAAGAGAGGACAATGTTTTGTCCTAAGTGATGTTTCACTTAGTACATTCTTTAGCGGTACTGTGTATGTTGTTTTAGTATTTTTACATCTATAGACGGTGATTACAACTTTGAGTTCATGTTTTACATGTATATTCATTTGTTCCAGTCACATATGCGTAATGTTTAGTGTAAATTAGCATGTCGATACTAAACAGAAATATTTCGATTTATCATGTTCCCAACCTTTTCCCAATTATTTGGGATCGCCGTAATATGTTTTTATTCATATTAAACACAAGGTGTGTCGGTTATTGATTCCACGACCTGACACTGACACTGACGTTAACTCTGTTTGGGAATTATTATGGAATTATTTCGATTAAAAAAGAAATGTTGAGAAAGCAAGTCGATTGCAGGTCTATCGGTAAATTATAAGTTTATTTTTTATTATAATCTATACTGCAATTTGGGTATAAAGCTATACAGTTTTTCTGCTCTTGCCCATCTCTGGCCGCTTGGACGTATCTGTAGTAATGAAGAGCCATCTTGCTGTCTGCAGGTGGGACAAGCTCGCTGGAATCCCTACAAGAAATAAAAAAAATTTAATGTAATTAATATTAATTATATAATTAATGCCATCAGGCATTAAGTCCACCCTATAGATGTATTTTAATGTGTGCAAAAGTATACATAAATAAATAAATTTGTACAAACTTCAAATGTAAAATGAATGTCTACCTGTTAGCTTTATTTGTCTTTTATTACATTTCCATTTTTTTATTTTTATTTTATTTATTCATAAACAATAATTTGTATTTGAATACCATACTAAGTAAAATAAAATACTACTTTGAAAAATAAATGAAATTAAGTACAAATACAATGTTTTTAATAGCATTTCTACAAATTATTTCAACAAAATTTTCAATAGCATTTCTAATTATTTCGAAATATGTTTCTTAAAACCTAAAAGTAACATTATTTCTTAAATTGTACACACAATTGTAACATTGTAGGTATGATTTATCAATTGCTAAAGACAATTCACAGGACGAATAGACAGATTAAAAAATAAATAGTACCGAGTAAGTAAATTTCCGTGTAATTCCAGCCTAGAAAGGACCACCCCTTCCTTTTCTGTGGATGTCGTAAGAGGCTACTAATGCAACATAATGGTCGAGGGATGGGCAGCAACGCCCCTCTTAAAACATCATCAAAGTCTAATTGCGGTTGCCAACCCGCGTGCCAAACGTGGCAACTACTGGCAAATCCCAATAGGAGAAGGCCTATGATCAGCAGTGGACAGTTAACGGTTGATATAATGATGTTGAAATACTAAACATCAATTCCGTATGTAAAAAGTAAGATGGTAAATTGTATGAACGATGTCACCAATTACACAAATTACATACAATTATTCCTAGTACTAAGCGACAGCAGTCATCAAAATTGAATGAGAATATTCGTGTAATGAGTTTATTTATCGATTATTTATTATAACACAATAAGTTCAATAGTTATTTAGAAATGCCGCCGCGTCAGTCAACCGAGTGAAAGTGTTAACATTAATACTGATTACCAGGCGATAATAAATCGAATAGAGGTATTCGATAGCTCATTTCAATACCATAATAATAAACTTGTAGGTTAGTGAAATTTTCCGATGTATTATGATTGCTTAGTAGTTTTTATCCGAATATTTAAGTGACATCTAAAAGAACAAGCGTCACATTTTTTTTTCTGATAATAATTTTCATGCTTACAAACGATAGGGTTTACTATGTGTGAGTGAAAGGTCTGTAAGAAATACTGTGTCTTTAGACAGCTAATGTAATTATAAATATATATATACAAATCAGAAAGACGAAAAAAGAAGCGAACGAACAAAATCTAACAATGATTTAACAGTGTAATATATCTTCAACATAATAATCGAGTATTCTATTCGTAATTCTGACATTTCCCTAAAGTTGACTGTGAAAGAATGCTTTTAGCATTAAGTTCATCTTGTACATATACATGTATTAATAAATAAATAGAATATACCCGTAATACAGATGTGGACCCACTAATTATGTATTAAAACATCATTCGGCTCAAAGTCACCAACCGTGAAGAAAATTACTGCTAACACGGTTTGCGAATATAATGATAGTGCGCACGTGAGCTTCCAACCACTGTATGCATTAGTTTTTGTGTTGTATGTGTTTATTCGGAATGTTCACTATTATACTATGATTGATGCCTTGGTAATTACAATCCTATTCATCCATAGGTGAGAGTAATTATTACTCTCTTTGCTTCATTAATCTTGATGCATGAAAAAGGCATTGACAATCTATAATAGAGATGCAATTGGTGCTTTTGCTATTATATACTAATAAACATGTTCTCATAGTTTGTTAAAATAGTTTATTAATTTGTACAACTATTGTACAGGCATTTAATTGCTATTTATTGTAATAAATTAAAATAAGAGGTTATATAATTAATGAAAAAAAAGAATGTGGAAAATGTATTTAAATTTAATATATTTATATTAATAAAAATTTGCACACTGACATTTAGAGCAGAATGTATACGAGATATGAAAATCTCTTTCATCTAAAAATTACCTATAATGTAAAAAAAAAAAGTGTTATAATTATGTGGACAATTAACGTTTGTAATGCGTCCTACATAGTCGATAGAGAATACTCACACGGACAAGATATCTAAACTGTTGAGTGTAACAATTCGATCGAATTGAGGGATTCACATAATATGTGATTTTATAATTTGTTTTAATACAGCTTAAAGAGTATATAAACATAAAATTGCTCACTAATTAAATAAAAGATTAATTAATTAAACATAAACGATTAAGGTTGTCTGGAAGAGATTGCTTAGCAATAAGACCGCCTTTTGTACTACACTAGACGTATTGAAAATTGTTTAACAAATCATGTTATGTTGGTGCAATAAAGTGTTAAATAAATAAATAAATAATACGAAGCTTCGAGCAACGATCTACCAATTTGTTTATTTTTATTTTAAGTGTTGGCAGTTGCACGCATACTAATTAAAGTAAAATTAAATTAAATAATTCTAATCAGCTATCAATATAAATGGATTCGGCCATTAGATAGTCTGATGATGTCGAATAATAGTGAAATAAAAAAAATATTAAATAACTTTAATTTGTTACTTTACTAACTTCATTTTGAGTGAGTATCAATAATAATTAAAAAAAAAAAAAAAACTTAGTTACCTTTCTATTAAGTTTTGTTGAAACAAACTATACATACATACTAACTCATCTTCCGATGGACTGATCCCATGGCTGTCGTAAGAGGTGACTAAAAGAACTTTAAAAGACCTAAAGGTCTAGAGACAAGCAGCGGCCCTCTTAAAACATCACCAAAGCCTAACTGCGGTTGCCAACCCGCCTGCGAAGCATGGCAACTACTAGTCAAACTCACCTTATGGGAGGGGCTTATGTCCAGCAACCAGTAAATGGCTGATATGATAATGATGAAGTTTTAAGAAGTACTTCTTCGACATAGTGGGCAAACTGACCTAACTTTATCATCACTTTTCATATCTCACTGTGCCCTGCCAGTGTCAACCAATAGCACAGGCGAATTTCTATTATATCATAATTAGAATTTTATAATTTAATTAAACTTTATTATACAAAAACAATACAACAATAAATTAAAGTTAATATAAAATTCCTTAAATACTAATACTAATTATAAGTAATCCCCCAACGCACCACACCGAGGCAGCGTACCCAAGATACTGGCAGCATTTTATTAAATTTGGGATAAAATATTGGAACGAATGAATGGAATAAAAAATACAACGCCAGTAGAAGAAATCGTGTAGTAAATAAATACATAAAATACATACTTGCTAAGTTCATTTGAGACTAGATTGCTGTATGGTGCATGACTGAATGGATCCCTGTAGAGTGCACAGACGGCTCTGTCCTTACAGCCAGGATCATGGGCGCCTATGGTGTTAAGGATCTTGTCGACTCGCTCCATCAGGGCCCCATAGAATTTCTCCGCTGCCTGAGTTTCCTGTAACGAAGAGTGCTATCTATTAATTTTTAGTTTTAATTTTAAAATTATCATAAAAACGGGATACAGTAGGCTAACTACTTAGTTAGGGGGGAAAGGGATTGTTAGTAATGGAGACTGCGAATCCCATTGCTAGCAATATACCCAACCAGGTCGACCTCCTCGCGGTTCCCCCTGGAAACTATCATGGTTAATTCCTGATGAATTAATTCATGATGGGCTAACTAACCTGTTTTCATTCTCATCTATCACCCTTCACTGGTGCTCCGCCAGCGTATCCCGTTAGCGCAGGCGGGGTTACCATACCATTTTCATCCATCGAAAAAAAAAACTACTTAGTTAAAACCATTTGACTTGATTTGATTTGAAATATAATTGCAGGGTTTCATAAAATAATATGCTCACGACTGTAGTTTAACTATATTTGTTGTGGTCGATGTAACATGTAACAAGCTCACACTTTAGCGAATATTCTCGCATTTGAATATACTGTGGTAGGCGAAACATATCATGTATCACCATCAAAAATATATAATACTATATTTTATTAAAATCAGTTCAGCTGTTTCATTTTAATTATATATAATATACCTACTTTAACAAAAAACTTTGTGTCTACATTTAACATTCGAACCCTTATTAAAATTAATTATTTTCTTAGTGTAGTTACATTGGGACGGCTGGAAGAGATCTCTTTCAGAGATAAGCCCTCTCTTCCTAACAAGTTGTTAAACTAATCTAACTGATTATATATATATATATATATATATATAAAATCAGTTTAACTGTTTCATATGTTAATATAGTATCTAATAAAACTATAAAATACTATTCATTGTAAAAATTTAGCAAACATAATTACTTTCACATTTATAATATCTACTATCACGAATGTTTTAAAATGCAAAATGGTTATTGTTCTCTTATTAAGGATCTTTATAAAACCTTAGAAATTATCATTCAATTATCTTTCTTTTTTATTATACTTAGAAAGTTTTTTATTTTACATACAATCTGATGGTCCTCTTAATGGAAAGTGGTAATCGTCACCTATTTACATTATCACAGTGTATTTTATAACGTCCATGGTGTTTATTTATATAAACATTGCTGTTCCTGAGAATTATGCCAAATTCCACCATTCAAAATCAAACACGGCCATGGGAGATAGATATTTAGTATATACAGCCTACATATTATAATGTGAATATATAATTGTATACTTTAAGTTACTAATACATAGCCAAATAAATCCATATATACATATAAATATACAAATATATAGATATATGTTTATGAAATTTTTAACAATAAAATTATCCTATTATTTAAGACACTTACCGGATCGGTTGCAGCTATGATCTGCTGCTGTTGTTTGACCAACTCAGTTTCTGTTTTCACACGATTCGATTCTGTTAATTTCGCTGCTGAAACGCGCAATAATTCGTCTCTGATCGGTGACGGAGGTGCTCTGGCTGCTAAGGATGCTGCACGGATCTGTATAATTGAGGAAGTGATTAGAAAAGGTAATAGGTTCTTATTCTTAAATAGAGTATATAAGAAGTAGGTAAAAGTAGATGTGTAAACTAATAGAAGACATAGTTTATGGGATAAGTTTCCTATCGAAGTTTGATCTAGAAACTAAATCATGGAGTTCTTTAAAAACCGTTTATAAAAATTTTTTAGGGTCGGCAATGCTGGAAGCGTCTACTAAGTTTGGTTACCGTTTGCCAATAAACGTACAGTATTTTAGACTTGTCATATATTAAAAAAAAAATATTACAATTTTATTTATCTTCGGCATACATATTCAGTTACTAATTATACAGTTATTAATAATATACATAGTTTATTGTTTATCATAGTATTTTTGCATCATATATCTTATACTTTATATACAAACTTCATAGATACTTTCTACGTTTTGATTCTCAAGGTTAACTGAAAGAAATCCCTTCAAGGCCTAAATTAAAAGTGAATGTGCAAAATAATTTGTATAAATAAATAAATAAGAACAATATTTAATCAAAATTAAACTGTGACCTGGCTAGATTTTAGAGGGTATGTTTATTTTATTTCAATATCGTTATGTCAGTGTTTTCATTTTGACTCTGTCTGATAAGACGGAAAGAAAGGCATTGTTACTTAACGCCTCAGGCGTCTAACTTATAAGACTATTATTGTTTTTTTTTTTATTAATCTATTGAGATAATGGCAAACAAGTATTGAGAAACAAGTACTTTAACAAACAAGTACACACTCAGTCAAGTTACATAGAAACCTCTTATATTAATAACGGCAGCGTAGTACTCAAGTAAGTAGTAATTCTTTACTATTTCATCACAATAGTTTAATTGTTTCTTCATACAAACTGCTAAGTTGTAATCAAGATCTATTTATTGCTCTCCATTCTCCATGATACATATTAAAGATAGTAGGGAGACTTTGTACAAAAGTCGATTGCTTGGGTACCTCTGCCCCATTCGTGTTTCAACCGTGAAGCAGTTGTGTTTGCATGGTTGTGTTTCGGTTTGAAGGGTGGGATATGGCGTGAATTTACAGGGTACAGAGGAATAACACCTGAGTCCTCAGGAATAGCAACGCATGAGGGGTATCATGGGCGAAATAGTATACTCTGTTATGTCCATAGTACTGCTCATGTCTATAGGCGACGGTTACCACTTTCCATCAGGTGGGCCGTCAGCTTGTTTGCCATTCTAAGTCGTATAAAAAAAAAGATAGTATAGCATTATAAGAGAGTAGTCTTATGAACGCTAAAATGTATTCGGTTCTGAATAATTTGTGGCGCTATGAATGAATGAATGAATGAAAACTTTATTGTTCCCTTCAAAGAACGATACAGATTATAAAGATTAACAATATGTATACAAATAAAATGAAAACTTAATTACATAAAAGCTAGATAAAGAGTGCAATAATGGGCTACCTTCTTCCAGTTAACCTTAGGCTGGAGAGGAATAATTAAAATTGTATCTGGTCGTAATAATTGGCTGGCTATAATCATTTTTATAATTTAGTACGATTTTGTACAAGCTTTTCCATGCGACTTCGTCTGCGTGAACGGAATATGTTCATTGACTGGGAAAGTAGCCTATGTCCTTCTTTGTCCTAAACAGCGATGTACGAGTATACCAAACTTCATGGTAATCGACCAAGCAGTTAAGGTGCTAAGTGGTATGAATATAGTCGTGATAAAACAATCTCACTTTCACATTTATCCTATTAGTGAAGATAATCCGCCGAGTTTAGTAGTCATCTCGCGCAGGTGTGACACGAGTCTCAAAAATGGGTCATCTTTTCGTCAGTTAATTGTCAAATTAGCCGACCTATTTTTTATCGGTGTTCTATAAACATACGCATACAATGTATGTTGACGTATTATTTAATAAATAAAATGAGTATTTATGCATTAAAAAGATACAGAAATTATAAGACAAATGAAATATAGAAGTTATAAAGGAATCTCTCATAACTATTTATTACGCAAAATTGTATGTAAAAGTTGACCTGCTTTTCTCGAAACATTTGTATGGAGACACTCTATCTATATAATCTAAGGCGTGACAGTAATAAATTTCTGCATTTTCATTGGTAAATTAATTGAAATTATTCGTATTGTGGAGCGGGTTATCAAACCCCTGGTCTTCTAGTTATTTTTTAATCTATAGAATTTAATAATATTTTGCATTATTGACATGTTTAATTAAGACGAACATATTTCTTTTTTTTTTAATATGAATGAATGAATTAGAGAATTATAAAATTAGTTAGTTACACTTCTGGTGCCAAGTAGCTACAGTTTTTTTTTGCTTCCCCAAATCCAAAAATTGTCTAGAACTAGAGGTTGCTTTAGCAATAAGACCGCCTTTTGTACTTCAGAAATTATATATATCTTTGTATTATTCTTTAAGTAATGTAATAAAGAGTAAATAAATAAATAAATTTTCTTACCAGAGCTTCCTTCTCAGCTTGTAATGGATCTTTTGCTTGTGTTTTCTTATTTCGAAAATACGGGTTCGGTGGTCCGACGGGCCTGTAATTATTTTTTTAAATAATTTAGACACAATAGATAGTGTAAGTAAGAGCCTGTTATTTATATATTTCAAGACGACCACCATCAATAATTCGAAATTTTCGCTAAATACTTATACCTACATTACGTACGTACAAGTATTTTCAATATCATGCTAATTAAAGAAAGTTACTTTAATGTGCTAAGTAAAATAACATTTTTATTTCTTTCAATCACAAAAATTTGAAAGAAATATTGTATATATTCTTTAAGTGTTTGTATGTGTTTGTGTGTGTTTGTTATTATATGTTATTATCGTTGTATTGTCATTGAATCACAAAAACTTAAAAAGTATTTTATGTGTTTCTAATTAGTACGTTTATCGTAATGAAAATTTTATAATCGCTTATTTTTTTACTTTCGTAATATTTATTTAAAACTTGACATCTGGTTGTTTAAAAAAAATATATATATACTCGCTACTATAATCAGAAATGAGGTAGTCAGTGGCGTTTATCCGTTGTTCCATTGTGGTGAAGGTAATATCCTAAATGTCCAGAAAAAATGTTCGGGCTCACTGTACTTGCATAAAAAAATTGATCATTAAAAATTTGTTACCCGCGGATTCGGGTGGATTTTGGAAATAGAAAAAACATTGAAATAAATCACTTCTTGATAAAAAAAACTGCATCCAATTTAGCGTAGTAGTTTTAGTAGTTTACTAAAACTGCTAATAGATATAAATCTACGATAGACACACGAAACTTTAAAAAATATCGTTTTGGCTCTTATTGCTCTTATCAAGACTCTTTATACAAGTTTTTCTAAAATATCTCTTATGTACGAGTACAATTATAGTATAGTTTTTATTGTATGTATATACATACCTTCCAGCGCCACTAGGCCCCAATCTTTGACCTGCAATTTGACCCGTATTCGGAGCTATTACAGTTGGAATTGCATTGCTTGATGCATATTCACCGACATTCGGTGATGGACCTGTCAACAGAATGAATATTAAAACATATGATTATCTAATACTACAACGTCGAGAGGTTTGTCGATCGAGAGAAGAGTCTTTGGCTAGGAAGGATCGGTCGATTCATGCCGGAACCTTGCCATAATGTTGTAAAAATTAAATTAAATTTATAAACACTATAACGATGGACTAAATGAGAATAAATTGGAGTGTTAAAAGGTAAGTTGATGTACAATAAAGAATTATAGAAAATGGAATAAATACTAAAAAATATTATAAATAAAAACGGGGTATGATGCAATCAAAGGGGGATACAGTTAAAATATTATGGTATGTTAAAATTTTTTTGCGTGTATTCGATTTTATTCAAATTCGATAAAAGATAATATAAAAACACATTACCTGGAGGCATTCCCAATCCCCAAGCATTGATGTCATGGAGATCATTCATGTGCGGTTTAAAATTGGATATGGCGTTGCGATGAATATCCGCTGCTAGATATCTAAAAATTAAGTAAAGTTATTTTAAACCTTATATAATTTACCTCAAGTTCAATTTGCAGTAGGTATTGATGATAAAATTATTTTTTTTAAATTATAAACATTTGAAATTCGAGATGTATTTTAAATATTTTATAATAATTTTAATAATAATTCACTCTAACACTTTCATTCATAAAAAGTTCAAAATATATGCAATAGCCCCTTTATTCATAAAAACTAAAACCTTCTACAAAACTATTTTAACTAATACAGTGTTTTGTCATTTTTGTTCATATTGAAAATTAATACAAAAGAAAGGGACAAAACAGTTCAACAGCTAAAATACGATTATGAGAGATTTTAAGTTTTTATAAACAAGGAGGGAATTCTATAGAATTCCTCGTTATTCATAATACATTATAGATTTATTTATTTATATTTTTTATTATTTTCTGTTGTATTGAATAAGGCATTTGATACGTTGTTTATTTTTATAAAATATATATTTATATAACACAAATTGAATTATATGAATAATACAAATTAATTCGTATGGAAATCTGATGAAGTTCTATTTCTATGTTTTTTTTTATTGATACTCACTCACTGCCAAGTCCAGGGCCTGATAACTCCCAATCTTGAGGGTAGTGATCTAAAGACGGAGGACCTTCTGCATGGGGTTTGAAAACCACTGTTGAAGCAGGATAAGTACCGTGACCATAGTGAGGATTCTGTAATGTTAGCTTTGTTTACTGACACATACATACATATATATATATATATATATATATATATATATATATATAGTTTTTGAAGAATGAGATTTAAAATTACTATTCTGAACTGGGTACAGAAATCTCAAGTTTTTAGAGATTTTTTAATAAGTATTTTCCTTCTTTTGGAAAATTTATTATTTATTTTTCCAAATTGAGAAGGTTCAAAGTATGAAGGTACAAAATTTATATTGTCGATTTAACACTTAACGGACGGGCCCCGTAGGTTTACATTTTGCCACCGCATCAAGGTGAATATTTTACAGCATGTCACACGTTTAAAAAATACTAAACGCTTTAATAAATATTGTTATAATTGATTTAATAAAATTTTATTGTAGTTACAGCGCTTTAAATGCATGCATGTTTGTTTAATTCATCTAAAAAAATCCCGAAAACCAGGAAAGTCAGCAGATTTAACCCGTCCATTAAGTGTTAAAATAAAATACCTATTTTGTGAAATATTACAAGTACTATTTAGATAATTATTATTTTTTAAAATAAACTTATTAACAAACCTTATGGTGATGTGTGATCAAATGATGATGATGGTGATATTTGGTTGTGTGATAATTCTGGTGGTACCATGAGCATAATTTGAAAATGTGACTCAATGCGGGGAACAAGAACAGTAGAAACTTGAGGAACATCTTCTTTGCAGTCGTCACACCGAAGATTATAGGCATCACGAAGACCAATTTCAAAGCGATCAGTTTCACAACTAACACTATTGCAATAGCTGCCATTACTAATTTCCTTTTAATGTATTTTTCTGAAAGAATTTCATGTTATCTTTATCTCTGAATAGAACTTAATGAAAATTTAATTAAACGAATGATCGACTCCACCGTAACCTCCCATCAAACTATTAAATTATTTTGTCACTTTCTTTCAAATTGGGAATTTAGTATAAAAGAAAGAGATAGATAAGTTCAATAGCTGAAATAGGTTTATGAGATTAAATTTTTCGATGTTTACTAATTTAATTTCGGGAGTAGTTCTGTGATAATTTCGACAAATTTCATTAAAGTCGATTGAGCATTTTTGGAGATTTTTTTTTGTGGTCGACGGTCTACCTAATGGAAAGTGATGACTATCGCCTATAGATATGAACGGTACTATAGACGTTACAGAGTATCTCCTATTATACCCTTCGTGTGTTGCTATTCCTGAGGACTTTTATTACCATATCCCTCCCTTTAAACCGAAACGCAGCCATAAACACACGACAGCATCACGCCAGAAACACGAATGGAACAGAAATACTCAAGCAGACGACAAATGAAGTATATAAAGTCTCCCTTTGAAAGATGAACGTGGATGAACAGCTGGAGACGGGAACTGAATAAATTAATATTTACAAACTTACTTATTTTGTGAAAAAATATTCTGCCATGTTCCACAGAGTTTCTAGGTTCCAAATCTATATGTACCAACGCTCCAGTTTTAGTCAAAGCTCTTGGTGATATCTTCAATGTAGCACCATGAAAGAAAAACTCAGGAAGTCTTAATTTCATGTCGTGGGTTGCCATAAATTTAACTCCTTTATCGTATAATGCATCCGTTATCTCTTCTAGAGGAGATTCTGAAAAAAAAAACATCAATATCAGTACTGAGTATATTTAATTACTAGTGTGATAGTTATGAGGTTTAAACATGGCAAACATGTGCAGTAATTTAATTCAATTTTTTATCGTAAAACGAACTTGTTATTTTTTTAACAAATACAAAAATAATGTATCTCGTCAACTGACTTCAAAAAGAAGGGCATTCTCAATTCGGTTGTATTTTATTTTATGTTTGTTACCTCACGACCGATTTGGAAAAGCTTTTTTTTATTATTTAAGATTATACTTACAGGTTTGTTCCATACAATTTCTATTAAAATCAGTTTAATAGTTTAGTTTTTAAATTAAAATAACTGGTTTTGTCAAAATTGAATTTTTTTTTGTAGAACACAATTTTGTATCCTTCAAATTATTTATTTATTTTAAAAGATACATCAACAATGTAAATACAGACATTAATTTTAATTGATATAACTACAGTAGGGCTTACATCTTGCATTTACACCAATTACAGATGTACAGAACATTTTCTTACGTCATCGATTAACATATTAACAAAACTGATACCAACAAAACAATAAAAAAAAACATGCAAGTGATGACATAAAAATACTTAACCCTTAGAATTATTAAAACAGTGCACACAGAATTAAAATTATTAGTTGTGGAAAAATTACGATAGCATATTTAATTATTAATGTAATAAAACTGCAAATAAACAATGACTGTACATGGAAGATATTTAAGAAAAAATAAGATGAGAAGTCTTAATAATACCGACAGAAATATATATATATATATATATATATATATATATATATATATATATATATTATTTTTATTTTATTTTGTCTTTCCGTGTGCTTGGTCCGGCATCACGCAAAAACTATTTCATCAAATTGGATGCGATTTTCATAGTTGCGTCCCAGAAGATCTAACATAAAATGTGGCGTAATACATAGAAGTAGTGTATTTCACTGGTTTTCCTTTCTGAAATTCACTGAAATTCACAATTACGAAGTAGCGGGCATAAAGGTAACTAAATAATAATTTTAAACTATTTGTTTTATAATAATTATAATAACATAACGACAACAAATGATGTATACCTTCTTGGATTTAATATCGTTTATTTCCTATTCCTTTTCCGTAAGCGTCGTAATAGTCGACTAAGGGAATTTAACGATTGAGGGATAGGCATCAGCGTCCCTCTTAAAACATCACTGAAGATTAACTGCGGTTGCCTACTCTCCTGCAAAACGTGGCAACTACTGGCAAAACCTCCGCCCCCGCCCCCGGGGGAGACCTATGTTCAACAGTGAAAAGATAACGCCAGATAATGATGATGATGTTTGCAATTCGATAATTATTAGAATTAAATAATATACATTTTTATCATTTCAAATGTTAGAGACAACCTGACTATAATTTTTCTGTATAATATTTTATATCACAATATATTTTATTTACAAGCGAAATTAACTTGTAACTTTAACTATATGTGTATCTTTATCAAGTCTACCCTTTTGAGGGTTTTGCCAGTAGTTGCTACGCTTGGCAGGCGGATTGGCAACCGAAATAAAGCTTTGAAGATGTATTAAGAGGGACGCTTCTGCCAATCCATCACCTTCCTCTAGTTGCCTCTTACGGTACCCACGCTAAAGGAAGGGATGGCTTATTTTATGCCGGAACTATAACGGTAACGTTCTATATGTATGTATATGTGTATATTTATTGTCAAACCATAATACTTGCTTCAATGTAATCTTTTTTATACTACGAAAGGTGTTCGTTTTCTCTCTCATTGTTAAATGGTTAAAAACTCACGTTCCGATTTCCGCATACATGATATTCGATTCATTTCTATTTTCTAATTACTATTACGAGACAATATAGTTCCTTTGTTACGGGAAATGATCGAAGAATTACGACAGAGTTTCACACGATTTCCTGGTTACAATGTTGCAAGATCGGGAATAGTGAAATTACTAGTGACATGAGAAGTGATTTACATTGGGAATAGTAGGTTAAATTGTGGAAATGCTTGTGTGAACAGGTGGATACAATGATAAAAAAATCATTACGTGGATGTGGCAGAAACTTAACAATTACAATGTTAAGTATCATCATAACATACTTGAAGAACATAACTAGAAATAACACAACTGGCTCGAAAGACAAATGATTGATCTGATTACACACGATGAAGACAAAATAATTATTCTTCTTTATCTTATTTACCAGAGGGAGACTATGTACAAAAGTCGATTGCTTGGGTATCTCTGTCCCATTCGTGTTTCAACCGTGAAGAAGTTGTGTTTGCATGGCTGTGTTTCGGTTTGAAGGCGTATATATGGCGTGAATTTACTGGGTACAGAGGAATAACACCTGAGTTCTCAGGAATGGCAACGCATGGGGGGTATTATGGGCGAAATAGTATACTCTGTTATGTCCATGGTACTGCTCATGTTACAACGACGGTTACCACTTTCCATCAGGTGGGCCGTCAGCTTGTTTGCCATTCTAAGTTATATAAAAAAAAATCGCATCAGTCGTTATTCTCCTGCTGCTGAATATGGACCTACTTCATAGACCATCATAAGAAATAGGGCCATTTCTTATGGCAGTTTAGCATGGGAAGATTTTGCCAGCAGATACCACGCTTGGCAGGCAGCTTGGTTTTTGGTAATGTTTTACGAGGGACGCTTCTGCTCGTCTTATGACCATTAAGTTCTCTTAATCGCTTCTTACGACACCCTCGAGAAAGGGATGACATATTCTATGCCGGGACCGCACGGCAAAATCTTATGCATATATTAAAATATATGCTTAACTCTATAGTATGGTCTCTATATAGAAATGGGATTAGTAGATCGTGAGGAATACACCTGTTTACAATGGTTAACTCCTATAGTAAGCTAGATGATCAGCGAGTAATATAGGCTATATATTTATTTTCTATCTCCTCAAAAAATCCAGGGCGGGTCACTAGTAATATATATATTGTTTCAATTTACTACTTAGTCATTATAAATGACAAATGAGATCAGCGTAACTGGCTATATCATTGCAAGAAGTGGTTTCTAGTGGCTCTTTACTCTTATCAAATATTTGTGAAGCTTAGTATGTAAATATTTGATTTGTGAAAGTTATTTATTAACACTCCACTGTGGCATTTAACATTACATTTAACAGTATTTTTGTATGCAGCTTAGAATGACAAACAAGCTGACGGCCCACCTGATGGAAAGCGGTTATCATGGCTTATATATATCAATAGTACATGAACAGAGTAGACTCTTGATACCCGCCCTTCATGTTTTGTTATTCTTGAGGACTAAGATTTTATACCTCCGTACCCAGTAACTTCACTGCTGTATACCACGAGGAGGTCAACTTGATAGTATACATTACTAGTAATGGGGCTACTAATTACTAACAACCCTTATCCTCCTCTCTCTCTTGCCAATATATACTGGTGGTGATACAGGTTTACCATTCCGTTTTCATCTCAAAAAAACCTAATACTGCACAGGGCTGGGGGGAAAGGGATTGTTAGTAATGGAGTTTGACATTGCTAGCAATGTGCCCTATCAGGTCGACCTCCACGTGGTTCCCCCTGGAAGCCATCGTGAACAATTCTTGTTGAATTCGTCATGATGGGCTAACTGACCTGCTTTATCCTCACCTATCATCCTTCACTGGTGCCCCGCCAGTGTATACCGATAGCGCAGGCGTGGTTATCATTTCATTATCATCCATTAAAAAAAATACTGCACAGGCCTGGGGGAAAGGGATTGTTAGCAAAGGAGTTTGACATTGCTAGCAATGTGCCCTATCAGGTCGACCTCCACGTGGTTCCCCCTGGAAGCCATCGTGAACAATTCTTGTTAAATTCGTCATGATGGGCTAACTGACCTGCTTTATCCTCCCCTATCATCCTTCACTAATGCCCGGTGTATACCAATAGCCCGGGTGGGGTTACCATTCCATTATCACCCATTAAAAAAAATACTGCACAGGTCATCGATAACGTCATTAAAATGCATGATTGTTGCTTCGTCATCATATTAGCTGTTATCTGTCCACTGTTGGACATAGGTCTCCTCCATTGGGGGATTTTTGCTACTAGATGCCACGCTTGGCAGCTACCCTTTTGAAGATGTTTAAAGAAGAACGCTGCTACACATTCCTCAATCATTAAGATCCTTTAGTCGCCTTTTGTTGCTTAATCAATGATAATGGTTACAAATTTTACCATAACTATGCTCAAACACGCCTTTTAAGGTTTCACGGTATTTAAGCAATCTTGTGGTTTGGGTAATGCACCAACAGACGAACACAATGTGGTTTATTGGAATGATGGTTTATGGACATTTAAACATGAATACAATAGTTATTTTCTTCAACTTTCAAATAACAAATCTGTAGCGGAAAATACTCGATACAATGCTATGTTGATGCTCTTTGATTCATGGGTGAAATTGTTTTTTTTTTTTTTTATTTAACAAACTTTTAAAATATTTGTAATGTTATAATTCATTATAAACTTCAACTGTACAACTATGTTTAAAAAATATAATTGTGTATTAATATTGTATTATATTTAATGTTTGTTATACCTATATGTTATAATGCAATAAGCTGTTGGTGTTCCTTAAATAAATAAATAAAAAATAAAAGAAAAAATATTAGTTTGTAAAGATATTAAGATATTTGAATGTTTGTTAATCAATCATACTTAAATGGCTAAATGTGGATAAAATTTCGTACATTTTTATGTATTGCGTATATATGCAATAAATAGGATACTTTATATATTAGTCACGCACACACGAAGTTTGTAAGCTGGTGTGCAATGGTAGAGAATAAATTCTTTCTTGTATCTACATTGATAACCAGTTTCAAAATTAATATTTTTAGCAACATGGTCCTTTTTTTTTCATAATAAATATCTCGTATTTAATTTACTTTTATTATTTGATCTTTTTTACGTTATCGGTTTACCCGAGAGAGA